GATATTGAAGAGGGAGGGAAAGTTCCACGATTTCCCATTGATGTATGTATATTATCCCGAGATTCCTGAAAATCAACCTGCACAGACTAATTGACCGATCCATGATTTGGCCTTGGCACAAAAGTATTCCGCCAAAGGAAAGCATGTACAACATTGCATAAATATTTGCCATAAACGATTTTACTTCACGTTAGAGAGAAATTTTCATAGAATTTACAAGGTCCAATGATTTATTCGTGTTAAACCTCAAAAGACTCGAGGCGAAAGAGTATTTGTATACTCGAAGAAAAAAAAATGCAAAATCGAAGCGTTAATCCGAGACTGACACTACCGTTCATAAATTACCGGATATTTGCTCGTCCAAAATAATGGAAAATGCAAATGATTTTATCATCTTGCTTTGTTGCGTTTACTCGTTTCAACTTTAATGTGAATTTTATAACGCACGTTATAAAATCAAAATAAATAGTCAATAATTAAAATTGTTCGAGGAAGCAAATTTAAAAGATAAACAAGGCTTAAAATCAAAGTAGTGGAAAATAATACGGTAAGGTTGGAATGACATTAATTGTCGACAAAGTTCCACCATTAATTCGATCGCATAAAACAAAAATTTTTAATTTTGCTAAAATCCATAATATACAATAAGCGTTAATAATTTGTACCGTTTCACAATGTCAATTCGTTTTTACTCATTAAGTGTCCAGGTGATTTACGGACGAGAGCGTATTTATCTTTCTATCAAACCATATCATTGCTTAGAAATGCCGTGTGGTTAAAGTCGAATAAGCTTTCTTGTGATCGGTTCCGTTTCGGTGGAAACGGTGAAAATCGATAGCGGTTGTTGATTTTCAGCACGTACGACAACAAATTTTCACGGATTCCCTCGGGGCACGCCGGGGATATTTACAAAAGCACGTTTAGCAAGAATATCGAGACGGGGCGGGGGTGGGGTTCCAGGGATGCTGTACGGTAGAAACGATGATAAGGAGCGAACCGAAGAACGTTAAGTTTCGAAACAAGTGCGATCGTAAAAGTTGCGAACTCGAAGCTCCGCCGGCCGACGAAGCGAAAACCGGGTGAAACTGGCACTAAATATGAATCATAAAAGAAGCATAAAGATAATTGTATGCTAATAGGCGGAGCGTATGCGCCACGTCGCCCGGAACAGCTCAACATCCACCTTTATTACCTACGTAGTTGCGTTATAGCGCGCATACGCCGTGCACGTTCGCTGTTTCTCATCGTAAAGTTCACCCGTGATACGACGTTGACACGATCTAATTCCGTACAATCAACCTTTCCAAAAGTACCTTCACCGCGAACAATTCATATAACCTTCTACCTTTACGCACTCTGCGTTCTCTTTTCCTTAAAACGTTTTTTTTATTCGAAGAATCAAACGACCCCGAGCTTCATGCATACGCCGACTATAATATATTTTTCATTGTGCAATATCGTCAAGGAATATGATTAGCTTTGTGGCAGCTCGAGAGGCTGTAAGGCTCCAAGCATTGCCTCTTCTAACTTTTAATCCAACTAAAAGCACGTGGAAAAAAATGCTGTATTAAAATAGAAATTTACTTCAACATTTCTGATCGTTTACGATCGAGCAACGTCGAGCAATGCAATTTGCAGGCCCTGCACGGCATTTTTTCGTCGATATGATTTGCAGAATGCGTCGGTGAAGTTTGACCCAACAGTTCGGAAACAGTTCTTGAACAATACGTACAGGCGAACTCATTAAAAGTTAAATATTTACGAGAAATAAAACGAACGCATTAACAGCGTTCGTTGGATATCCAATAACGTCGAACAATAAAACAAGCTGATTGTGCAAGTAATTGCTTTGGCAAACCATTTTTTACTCGTTGGAAGCAGCCTTTTTTCGAAAAAAATGTGTTCGCTCGCGCGTAAAAAAAATCGAATTTCACGGGAAGCTGATCTCGTTTATTCGAACAATTAATTTCGTCGGTGAGCCGTGTTCTCGAAACTCGGAAAAAATTCGCTCGAAACTTAGATCGCGGATGAGGATCGTTTAGATTTCCAGGCGTACTCCAGAGATCGTTCGGACTGAAAAAGCCACAAGCGGTTCGAATTTATCGCCGCGAACAAAACGTTTGGATATCCATGAACCGAGAGTTTGCGATCCTCTCGTGAATTCCAAGGATTCGACCCGGGAAGGACGAGAATTTCGGGGGCGAAGGAAGGAGATAATACAAGACAGTGACCAAGAACGCGGAGAACGAGGTCCTCTTGATCTTCCACGAAGTCGTGAATTGAGAGCCGGGAGACCAAGAAGAATCTCTCCTTGACCGTGTCGCCGACTTTTATAGTCGATCGTCTCCGAGAGCTTTCACGGGTCTTGACGAGAGAATACCGTCGCGATGTGTAAACCATGAGCCTCTTCGACGGCTCCTCGAGCCTTTCAGACTCTCCTCCTCCCACGGAAGCGGAGCTGAAGAGATGGAAAACGGACTGGGCACACCTAACGGCCTTGAAAATACTATCTCTTTTAACGTTTCAAGCACCTTTCGAACGGGGTAATACTTTTAAACGTAATCGGCTGTTGCGTGTAGAAAGCATTTATTTATTTATTTATTTTGCTATATCTACAAAGTTATTTTGTACCACTTACTACAAAGATGTTCGTTTTAATTATTTGAGAATTATCGGACCAAAGAAGCAACTCAAACGAAGCAATGGAAATCTGAATTCGCTTGCTTGGAAAATTATAACCGCCGCAAACATTTAACTATATCGCGGTTGATATTGCAAAATACCTTCTCAACGATGGAAATACATCGTTATTAGACATTCTGAACATAATGGGCATCAGAACCTGCACACCGAAGTGTACTAATATTGCGAGCAACAGGGTATGAAACAGATAAATCACCGTTGAGCACAGAGTGTGAGAAGCGACGCGCGAAGAACGATCGCGTCGAGAGTGAGAGAGATTCATCATCATCCGAGGGGCTTGTTGGCACTTCACACGATTCAGAATATGGTCCGGAATTAGCTGATTAGGAGCCAAGTAAACAAATCACAAGGGTCTTAGAATAAATCAACACCTGATATTATGCCAATCACGAGTAGCCATAAATAATTTAGGAAAGTACTAACGAAACTCGTCGCACCAGAATAGTCTCTTAACCCAGATAAAGCTGAATTTATTTCTATTTAAATATTATTTTACTGCAAACAGTATAGGTATAAATAAACAAATTTAAGTAGAAAAGCACAACACTATATTCAGCAAATTCTGTAAGAACGTCAATCGTAACTGGGTTAAAGATTTTTCCGCGAACGCAGAAGCCATGTACGGCGCGATTCGCGCTATCGAGGAAGTGGCCTTGAGCGGTCAATTGACTTTGTTCCAACTATAACTTTTCGGAGCGAACGATTACACGGATCGCAGGAACATTAAACGTACCGATAGCAGGCGCCCCTTTGTCCCGCCGCAAACGATCGGATGTCCTGACGCGAAGCAAGTAACACGCCTAATCAAATTTTGCGAAACTTGTTACGGGACCGACTTGCAAGAAGAGGGAACTTCCTTTGTGGACGGCGTTTGCCGCGAAATACCAAAGTGAGAACCGTACAGACAATTAAAGATGAACAATGCGGCGGGGAACATCGATGTCCTCGAAACTATGTTCACCGGAAGCTTGCCCTCTGCTCCCTCGCCCCGCCGTTCGAGAACCAAAGTCCCTCGAGTTCCAAAACCAAAGTTTCCGAGCGTAATTTCGCGTTCGAAGAGGCACGAAGACGGTTCGTATCCGTGACAAAAGTGGTCGTGGAAAAAAAGAAGACCGCTGCTACTAGAAGCATAACGTAACACATCACGCGCAACGGGTAGTCGCGGACCGTGGCTTCGTAGGGAAGGGGGAAACGAGGCCACTTTAATTTACGAAACTTGCTCGACATGCACGTCCAGTCGTGGACGTTGATTTACTAACGTACGAGGGACTAAGCGAACCGATTCGACAGGAAAACCGAACAGACGTCGAGGGCTCGTGTGCGCGTGAGCTACGTACAAAGGGTTACCAGCCGGGACTGTGATCGGAAGCTGTCAATATTTGTCCGTGTCCGGTAACCGAGTAGCGAGCGATGAACCGTAACGTCATCAATTATCTCTTACATACCGCTGCTCGTGCCCGTTGTCAAATTTCGTCTGTCTCCTGGCCGATGCCACGACTTTGTGCCACGGGACCACCCACGCTTGCCCACCCCTGCTCCATTGTCTATTTCTACTTACCTAGAGTGCCGGCCGGCCAGATTTGAGTAAACCGATGGAAATTGTCTCTGGACCGCGGAGAACAATAATGACCCGGTCGAAATTCCGTTCCGGTGGAAATTGCTCGAGCGGAATGTCGAGACCGGTCCTCTATCGTTGAATCGATACTCGGCCCGTATGATACGAGCGTGGTTGGTCCTCGACGCGTGGAAGCACTCGCTGACTCGCGCGAATATCCTCCAGGGAGGAATTGGAGGATTATAGAAGGGGTATACAAGGGAGGGGGCCTAGGGGCTGGGTTTAGAAAGAGAGAAATAACGGGATATTTCGTGGCCACGCGATTTCAAACGATACGAGTATCGGCAAACCACCTGGGACAACGTTCCCTGACAGTTGTGATTTTCTTATTTCTCGCGGATGACCGCTTCAAACAAACACGAACAAGCTGAGAATGGTTCGCGACTGTTTGTACGGGTCCCCCGTTGGCGGGTCCCCCGTTGGTTTAACCCTGTGCCTCGAGATTTACTTAGCGACCGCCAGAGAAGTCGTCCGTCCATCGGGACGAACGAAGATCCGGCAATACAGTAATGATTCGCAAAATGAACATCACTCAATTTAACGTAGTAAATATTTCTAAGAATATCTTCCTTAAAGCTGTCGCCGGACCAATTACTCACGCCAAGAGAGAGTCGTTTCTCTATAAGCAATTATTAAATCACGACACATTTCATTTAAAATATAAATAAGCAAGATGGCTTTGAAAATTCACATATATTTGACTCTGTGGTTTCATATTTATTTACAGATTTATCAATGCCAAAGTAGACGAACAAAGCTGAAGCAACGATTCCTTTAGTTAACGTTACAAAATATGCGCTAACTTCTACGTAACTTTAGGGAGATTTGTTATTCTTCATTCACATGTAATAATTTAAATGACATTTATCGGCTAATTCAATTACCTATCGCTAAGGATGCTGCGCAAGCCATACGTGTAAAGTAATCGATACATTTTAACGGGCTTGCTCGATTAACAGCAGCATGATCAATTCTAATTCTAATATAATCAAACGTAAGCTTGATACGAGACACGAGGTAAACATAGAGTGATTCGAAGAATTTTAAATTCCTTTGAGTGCGCAACACATTGAGAAATGTAGTGTTCAAGCTCGTGTGAAACTAAAAAATAGACGCTCCATTGATTGGTGCTATTGAATCTAGCGAAGAACAGGAACATATATCTTGTAAATATTATACTGGCATGTAATTTCTCCGTTTCTCTTATTAAAATGTTTCCTCTAACGTTTGCAAACTTGTTGCTGGAAATTGTTTCTTTCATAGCAGAATGTTGGTATTGAATCGATGTCTTCCGTACCGCTTTAACCGTTTTATAATTGCTCACTATAGCTACGTCTCTTTTGCTAAAGCGACTTCAACGGAACGATCGGCTACGCTCAAGTTTTGTTTTCATTCGTATGTAAAAATGATGGACAAACGCGCGTTTCTATTTCTACTGGTCCGCTTGTTACCTTCATGTACCTCAATTTTTTCGTTTTAAGGATATTACATATTTGATCGCCATTTCTATGCTCGTCAGAAACTTATCGAATATACGAAAGACCTTGTACGATTTAACACTTTCTGTTGGCTGATCACACTTTATTAAATGCAATAAGCTAGCATAGTCAGTTTTGAGTCAGACATTATGATATAGCAATTCTACATTTATTTCGATCATAAAATTAATGTATTCGATTCCTCCCGTACGTACGTCGGAGATCATCGATCCCGTTAATGTCTTTATTCTGATCCCAATCGTTCCACCAAAGTTCTTCTCAACATTAGTTAAAGAGATCGAAGCTAACGTGATAAATTAGCTATAATTTTGGTATCGATTGCGGAGAAGGGGGCACTGTTAAATTCTGAATGCCATCGAGCGATTGTTTCGCTACATTCTGAAAATCGTCCATTCCTTTCTTCGTGATGTGTGTAATATCATCGATCTGACGACGCGTCTGATTGAGTAAATCGTCCGTTGACTTTGCCGCAGTGGACGCAATGTCTTTCATGTCTCCGTGAATTTTCTCGATAACCCATTCCATCGCCAGTCGTCCCTGAAACGCAATTGTGCAAAAGACGCTTCGTTACCATGCAAACACGATGTTCATTTACACCCATGCGTGTCACAGCTTCAGCATAATTCATAAGTTTCTCGGAAACGTTTAATGCACAAACGTCAATATTGTACTTTAAAGTGCATGTTAAAATATGTTAAAATATATTTGTTTACCTAAAAGAAAAACTTAAAATAGAAACGATTTAAAACTTAAAAACTTCCAAATGACTGTTATTTAAAAAAGTTAATAGTTTCAGTTGATCTCTAGCCAGCACCAAACTTTCTATTATCAATCACTTTGCACGTTTCAGATAAAACAATACTTCACGAAACGTATGAATCTGAAATTGCACTGATAAAAATCTCTCAAAACTCGTTCATACCAATTCTCTCATCGACTGTTTTATCAACTCGAGAACTTTAATCGACTTTCTCACGGACAGACACCACATAAAAATTTGATTAGTTCATTCGATCGAACAGTTATTCAATGGTAGTGAAATACAATTTCATTTTATATCACTTAGATTGTAGCTATTCATGTGCAAGCTGTTAAAATTTCATACTACGTACCTTTCCCGTTCAAAAATTCAATCACATCGATTAAACAATTCTCAAACGTTCATTCAATCTTCTCGAAACCATTCCAATCACTTAACATTCGTTCACTTTTCGTTCACTAATTCACTTAACATTCACTAAATAACCAACTGTTCAAACGGATCATTTGCCCCATCATATCTAATAATGGTAGATAGAGATTCAGAAACTCTATGCAATATTCGAAAGATATTAAACGGCCTACCTTCTTGGCGTTTTGTTCGATCGTATTCGTCAATAGCCTCTCCATGTAATCAATGAGCGGTACACCGGAGATAGAGATGATTGCCTGTTGCTTTAACAGAGTTTTCTGGGAATCTTCCGGGTCAGGCATATACCTAACTTCTTCGCCGACAGAGACATGTTTTCCCAGACTCACCTGCAAGCAAAATTTGAGTCGTGCGATGATTTCTTGCAATATTTCTCATTAGATGACAGTGGTCTCGTTTCAACTACGCGTTCTCGTATCGACCGTATTGTGTAACGCGTGGGGTTAGCAACCTTCAGATAGATGGTCAGCCGCTATTATCGAGATAAAACGCTTCCACGAAAGTGACGTGAAACCTTGAATAATCGATGCAACGAAATAAGCTTGCCAACGTGGTTGCAGCGGTCCTTGTAACATAGCAAAATCGCTGGCTTACTAACCGCTTCTCTAGCATTGTCGAGTCTCGTTACCCCACCCGTTGGCCACTAAATAAAACGCTCGTGCGTTCTGCAATTACTTAAAACACAATTCCCTAGTTCCTCTGTTCCACGTAACGCTTTACCGGACGGACATGAAAGTACAAGCTGAATTCTCCGACCAATCACTAGGTTGGATAATCAAGGGTTCACCATTGTTCGCGACCTTGATAAAATTTAATTCCGTTCGAAAAGTTTTAATTGTAATATGTATTTCGAAAATATTTTCAAAAGTTTACTATTTACAAAATTCTCCGTCGGACGGGATCGATTCTTCGAAAGGAGAATGCTCTCTAAAACGAGGAAGATAATTAGGTGTTTTATCGGATCATTCCGCGGAAGAAGCAAGCAGAATGGAATCGCGGACAAGAGCACGTGACAGTTGGGAATGGCAGAGAGGCACAACGCAACAATTGCGCGTTTCACATATCTCGAGTTCACTTTTACCCAGATGCTGACGAGGTACAGGGTGTTCGGGGCAATGATGACGCTCACCACTGCGAAAATTGCATCATTATGAGCTGCGTGCGACTCATTCGCAGCGGTGCAGCGTGAAGCACTGTGCTAGTGGAGCTGGAACAATTGAATCGCGGGGGTGCAATACGTTTCACGGGGGAATTAACGCCCGCGGCGCATTGTGGAACCACCCCTGGCCGAGATAGAGAGACGCGGCCCTCTATGCTCTCCGCCATATTGGCAATCAGTGAAGTCGACTGTGTTACATCACGACCGACTATCCCACCCCTTCGCAGTCCCGCCAACCCCCACAATCTTGCTACCTAGCTCCCCCGATACAATCGGACAAGACCGAAAAAATTAACGCCTCGCTTCAAATAACGTTTCATCAATTACGCGGATCACGGATTTGGTAAAATGGTTTAATTCGCCGACGACCGGGCGATAGCCATCGACGCTCCAACGCTTTTCAATGTGTCGAACGCGAGTTTCTTTGTTCTCGATGTTCGCGAGCACGCTGTTAACGTCACAAGAACGTTACTTCCGGTTGGAACTTCTATTTTTCGTTCCCCCTCTAACACGAATATTTCGGGATGCTAGTTTTCAATCTCCTCAAACATTGGCGTTGTCAACCTTTTTCGAGGGAATTGAAATTATTAAGGAAACGAAGGATTTGAAACGCGCAATATTTGCTAAGAAACTCTGATATAATCTCTCGGTACAATTTTCATTCGCAGAACGAAGTTAGAAGTAATTTCGTCGCGAAAATTACGCGACGAGTAAACACGCTTCTTTTCAGTGGTTAATTAGCACTTTGCGACTGGTTTATGCCGTTATCGTTTATATGTTCTCAGAACATTGGGCTCGCGAATCGGGGGCCCGGGGTTCCAGAAGAGAACTGCGAAAACTCGAGTGGAGAAAAAGACAGATGGCAAAGGGAGTAATTGGCAAGACGAACGTGAATAAAACTGAGTTTTTAAACGTGGTAATGAGAACATGTTTCGCTTCGACTCAACGTTTCAGACAAAAAGTACAAAGTACGCGACACTTATGCGTTTCTGATTCTCTCGCGTCCCAATTATAACAAATAATTCTTCGAAACTGTAAAACAGAAAATAGTTGGCAAGCTTTTACCGCGACAGGAGCCATATTTCGATCGTCAGAAATATATTATTACGTTTCCGGTTTGGCATAAACGAAACTTTAATATACAACAGAACTCAAACAAGCATCAACAGAAAACAACAGTAAATATCGCAGCAAAGAAAACTCGGCACTCGAATACGTCAGTTCACGATCGCGTTCCTTCTCCGAATCTTCGCTTGACAGGTCGATCGATTCGATCGTCTCCTCCCCGCCGTCGCTTGTCTCACTCGCGGCTACCAGTGAGCCATGGATCTCTCCATACGGTGCTCGCAACAATATTAATGTTTTTCGTTCGTTAACGAGAATGAAGCGTTAATAGTATCAAGTTTATTCCGCACGAGAGGGTTCGAAACGCCGATAAATCCGTTTTCCGTAGGAAAAGCCGAGAGAAGAAGTTTGTTCACGGGGTTCTCTCTCGCAACTCTTTCGGCACAAGGGACGACGTAATCGTCTTTGTTGCGTCTCAACGGACAGGGCTGAAAAAGAAGAGCGATGCGTCGGTATCAACGCGACAAGGGTGAAAAGGAACGCGGAAAAAAGTAAACGGCTGGCATGCGATTTAATCCTATCAAGCGGACGATCGATCCCCCTCTCGGATCTGGCGTCAACGACGAAGTAATTAATTTTCACCTTTTTTTCGGACCAGAGTAGAGTACGAAAAGCGTACATCGTCGATCCTGTCGCGCGCCCCCTCCCCTCCCTCCGAGATCCTAGTGCATCGGTTAATTGAAATTTTTCTCGTCAGCCTGCGCGTCGAAACCGATGTTTGCCAATCCCTCGGTCTCTGCAGCAGGCACGGCGTTTGCTTTTCATTTACCGCAACATTGCGGTATCGTCGCGTTTAGTAGAGCGGTTAGACCGAAAGTCGTTAACTAAAATCGAAACTTCCAAGCAAAAGAAACGGAAATGGTAAATGCTGGGACCTTGACGCAATACAACGAATTATACGGATAATCCTATTTACACCGAGACCAAAAACACAGATTGTGAACGAGACAAGTTGGTTCAGAAATTGAATATTTACAAATCAGGGCAGATGAATATACTACTGTCGCAGAGATGACAAATTTGGGAAAAATATTTCAGTCCAAGTCCCCGTTTTCTATAATATAGTAGAGCTTCGATTATCAGGTACCTGGTTACCTGGAATGTTCGAATAACCGACATAATTAACCCGACTATTCTTCGGTAAATGTTACTGATTACATTTCACACAAACAAAGAAGTAACTGCCGCATGCATCCTGCAGTAATATCGATAGTAAAAAGTTGATGAATAAAGCGTACGAATTGTATGTATTTTATTTTTTATTAATAAATTGTATTACTATATTACCAATGGTTATGTTTATTAAAAATCAATAACAAATTTTTAAGAAAAATCGACAGGAGGTATGTGCTGAAATTTTCGGCGAAATTAAAAAATTTCAAATCATTCTGGAAAAATTATTTTCGGTTGAGGGGGTCAATTACAATCATTTTTTGTGAATACACATACCCCCGAAATCCTGCTCACTTTCGAGAAAAAAATTATTTACCAAAAATATAATGTGTGGCTAGAAATGTTTCTATAATTTCATTTTCTGTCTCTTCTTGTATTCATTTCTGTAACCTGTTGGTAATGTTGCGAGTGACACGAAAATTATAAAAATGGGCCGAAGAAATACATTGGATGTAAGGTCTACTCGTATACCTCGTCTGTGATTATATTCTTCGTTTTTATCACTTCATATGTAGGTATAGTCCAATTATCCGGTATATTTGATTTTCCGGCATTTCCCCAGCCCCAACTATGCCGGATAATCGGAATTTTACTCTATATAATTTCACAGTCTAGTTATAACCAATTAATAACAATAATCATTTACGTAGCACAGTAAACTACATTTGATATTCCAACCACTTATACTTCCTATGATGGTCATATTTAATTTCCTTAAGAAGCACAATCTGTATTGGTAATTTCGCTCTATGTATTGTGTAAGTAGCAACTACCTCTAGGTTTACTATCTGTCTCATGTACTATTACTTATGTAATTCTTTTCCTCCCTTATGTATACTTAATATATTTATTATCCCCTTTGTAAACTTGTGCTAATGATCCTGTAGGGGGTTACAGCGTAATAAATAAAAATAAAAACATTCGGTAATATTAAATGGAAAGAATTTATAAGAAGCAAATTTCTCTTCATTTATAGTACCTCACTATTATAGTGTACGAATACGAGTGGAAGTGTGCATATCGTCTGAAAGAAAGGATCCTAAATCTTGACGACTGTACTAATGGTATCGTTAGGAAAGGAAGGTAAACTGTCGCGCAAACACCCGCACATCACGCTCTCCAATCAAGAATTCCTGGTGATTCCGTTTCATCGTAGGACGATATAACGAGAAGAGATCCGGGGAAGGGTAGTAGACCCCAGGCCCGGTGAAGGGTCGTTGTTCGGGTTAAAGAGCCTTCTTCGGTGTGCAGTATGCACTCGCGAGTAATTAGCATCGCCGCATAATTGAGAGGACTTTACAATCTGGCTGGAGGCAGCATTGTTCGAGTCTGAGTATGCTCCCGATTCGGCCGTACCATTCGATGCCTCGAGAGGGTGCCACGGCCGGAAGCCGAAATCTACCACGACGTAACGTCGGAAGCTGGATCGACCTCGATGGAGTTCGACCTAGGGCTTTCTCTCACTCGGGGTAATCGGCGATTTCAGCGGATTTCGGGGAGATTGGGAATCGTGTGCTGACAAATCCGTATTAGATCGTGTAAACGGGGGCTTCCAGTCATCTACTCTCGACTGAATGGATACGCGCGGTTTCCTTGCACATTCGATTCAATTACTTGTTTCCACGTCTATGTACATTTCTGAACAAACAGAGAGAGCTACCGCTCGTGGCCCAAATCGATAATCTTGACGGTCCCTTGATCCGTATGAAATATCAGCGACCACGTAATGGGTACGTGACTTTCCACGTGGGATAGTTTCATGCACGAACGAAGCGTCCGTAAAAATTGCCGCGATCCGAGCGTGTACGAGACGAAAAGATAATGTACACGGTTTTTTTCAGCGCGTTGCTCGCGTGATCGTTAATATCCATTCTTCGTTTGCAGCGAGCAGAAACATATTTCGATGGTGACAAACACGGTCAACGTGGGTTCAACCATGATCAAGGGGTTCGGGTTGTACGCGAGGCGTCGTACAACGGCGCTATGTTTTATCCACGGCTACTGCAAACTTACCATTTTTCATTAATCCAGCAGCCCTCCGTCTCCCGACGCCATATTTCAATCGGTTCAAAAAGTGCTGGCGTTGGCTGCTGTACGGTGGCAACGCACGCCGACGGAAAAATACCCGTAAACGTGGCCGCGTAGTCTAGAAACAGGAACCGACCGACCCTATACCGCGTTCAGCCGCGTGCAATTTGTTGTTTTTATGATTTAGAGGGCCTCGTGTACAATAATTCAGTCGCCAGGCACGGCACCGCATCCAGTCGGCTTCGTTGCGCTACCGAAACGCAACCCTCTCGAGTTCTCCATCAGCAAAGTCCACGGGGAGTCCCCGACACACGGCCAGGATACATCACCGATACACGCGTCCGTTATTAATTCTCGTCCGATGGCACCCGCCGGCTCTCCGCCACCTACTATCCTTCTATCTATCCCGTGTCTCGGGTTTTCGCGCCTGCACGCACGGAAATTCGTGCCAGAACGAAGGAGGGATTGTTAGAGAGAATACACGAGTCGTCGCGAGTAAAATATCGTTCCGGTTTCCTTCGTGCCCGGGAACGTATGTATCGCGTCGAGTCTGAGCAGGGATCCTACGTGTGCACCGCTTGATTGATCTATTGGCTTCTGGTTTTCTACGATTACGAGGGAAAACTCGAAATTCATGCGGGAAATCCACACAGCGGTTCACCGGAAACCGATTACCACAATATTTCGAACTGGTGATACGACAAGAAGAAATTTATCGAGGAACGATATCTCTTTTTTACTTTGTAGGATCATAGAGTTAAATCACCGATTAGAGTGCAAATAACTTCATCGAAAAGCAGGGTCTATTTGAAGGTAGGAAATATTTCCAATTCCTTTACAAAGACAGTCCATTAGTCTGGTGTTCTCGTAAAAGTCTGAAGAGAAATTCTTCCTTGGCATTGAAATTGTTAAATATCCTAAATGTAAATGTGGTGACGATATTGAAGATTTAAATTACATTTTCTGGCATTGTGATCTATACCACACGCAAAGATCTCAATTAATCGACTCTCTGATAGCTTTAGGTTTCTAAATGCTAATCAGCATTGATAATAATTGATTTTCTCCATGATTGAGCCACTTAGAGGCGGCAAAGCTTCCTCTTTGAAATGGTTTTTTGTTTATGTCGAAGCGACTTTCCGTTTTGGAGATATCGCAATTTATGTAAAAGGGTAACTTTTCTAATTCTAATATCTCTGTCTTCGTTTAACGCGTCGGACGGACCATTTCCAAGAATTTACTACGCACTGTTTACTATTTACACGCGCGGTCATTGACCTCGCACCAATGTCAACAATGAAAAGTAAACAAACACTTCGAACCCTTATATCTCCGAAACTAGCTATATACCCTATCGACTTGAAATAAGTTTCATTTTAAAGGGCTATTCATCCTCTGTCCGACGAATATAACTACTGTTATAATTTATGCTGCCTTCTATGTTTATTTTGACATTTACTTCGACGCTATATACCTAAAGAAATTTTAGCAATTCCTATCAATTATTAATTGGAAATGAATTTAAATTTGTATACAGGATATTTACGTAATTACTAACCAGCATTTTTTTGTAAATAATTGTTTTCTCTGGAACTAAATACGTAATTTATAATTTACGCTGTTTGCTACGTTTATTTTGAAACATAATTCAATACTATCTATTCAAATAAGTTTCAGCAATTCCTAGTGACTCAGGAATGTCCTCAGGTTTTCCAATTACAGCAAACAGACGGGAGCTCACTATTCGTACTTTGAGAACAATTTCATCAGAAGCGTGTCGTCGCCTCAGCCAGCCCCCGTTATATTTTTTCATTGCATTTTTTGCAAAACAGCCCCCACGCGTTAGGTTACACCCTGTACATGAGGGGTGCGTTTAGGTTCAACGATGCCGCATTATGTTCCAACAGCGGCACGATACGTATGCATCCCGCGTAACGTATGCAGCGCGGTCCCTGCCACGGCGATGGAGAAGGGGTGGCGGGGGTAAATTGCTAAAAGATATCTCCCACTTGGGATTCGACGGGGATAGGTTATAACCTGGTCCGGACTCTGCCGAGCTTATGCAGAATACATTGCCTACGAAATGTTTCTCAGCAACGTTCTCTGTATTCGTTCGCTCGCATGCGTAACTGTCATGCGTATATTTCAACGCGCGCGCGCGCGCGCGCGTGTACTCGCCAAACGGGGCAGATATAGGCAGAGAAAGCGTCAACATCCCACGGGGAATTGTTCAATTTTAGTTGAAGCTCATCTCCAGCCCTTGGCGTACAGGAAACGCGGAAACGCGTCCCCGTAGATTACGCAGGCGTGGAACGATCAGCGGGGAAATATCACGCGGTGCTTCCTGCTGTCGTCTGACCTTAATTGGAAAGACGACAACGAGAAAAGGAGGACGTCGAGAATCTTGAGCGACGACCGTTGCTTCCTGCGGACTTGAAAAGATGAACCATCGAAAAACATTAATATTGTTAACTACGGGGAACATCGCAATAAGTGAACCGAGAATATCATGCGTTTCGTAATCGCAGAGAATAGTGTAATGTAATAAAGAAAGGTTAATTGCTTGAAATAATGTTGAGCAAAACTCAAGTTTCGCGACAAAAATGTACGCCACGATCTATAGACTGAGAAACGTAACATTATAATGTTTCCAAATATTTACTGTTCGCAAATAGTTGATAAGGTGAAAAACAGAAAACCTGAATAGGAAATAATGCATTCGAAACACGCTGTTTCAGCAAATGCGCACGTACCGCGGATTTCGTGTTGTATCTCGTTTCGCGATGGCCACTCCGAGGAACGTACAGTCAACACTTCGTACTTGATGCATGGAAACAAAGTTACACGTAAAAGTGCTGATAAATGAGCAAACAATGCTCCCAGGGTGTTTAACCGTTAATATTTACGCGATGAGAATAACAATCTTTGCCGGGATGTTTTCTCGCTGAATTTAATACTTTGCTCGGGTCTATGTTCTACAAATATTTCCCATCGCTCAGACACCACGCGGAATTGAAACAGTTACGTCAGCGAACCTGCATCTGACTACGCAGCAAACCAAAGAGGAAATATTTCTTTTTATAAGTCGGTAATCGAAACGAACTTTGGCACTGAATAGCTTTTCGACAAAACATCCGGTTCGTGTATAATTTATCGACTTTTATCGACGCTACTTGAGCAATGCATCAGGGAAAAACAAATGAATCTGATAGTATTTTGTACGAGATCAGTTCGACCCAAAGGATTTGCTTGCTTTCTGAGAGAATAAAATTTTGCACACGTAAATTCAGACATATTCAGCGCACTCGATGTTAGAAGCCTGGGTTAGGTATTCGGTCTCTACAAGTATAACCGATCGACGCGGCAACTTCGCGTAGATGGAAGGTCTCCGGTTTTTCCACGTAACCACTTGCGGATCGTTCATCATATCGGTAATGCATCGAGCATCCCGGTTTCTCTTTTCACCCTTTTTCATCGAGGGTCGAGCAAGAAGCAAGGGAACGATCTTTGACGCGTACAAGGAGCCACGACCAATGCTCCACACCCTTTCCTTCGCCGTTTTCCGCCCTGTCTTCCTAAAACCCTCCTGGCGCAACCCTCCGAGAAGACCACGAAGCTATGCAACCCCCTGGTAATGCGCGCATCAATAACCTATCATATCCAGCCTTCCAGATGCGATACGATGCCCCCCTCCCCCAACCCCCAACCCTAAGACGTGCCGATCTCTCCTGTAACTCGGGTAAATGTATCTGCTTCTCGAACTGGAAAGTCCACCGTCCATAATTTTTCCCGCGGATATCAAAAGCAGAAAACGAAGTGCAGGTGTCACGTCTGCTTCGGACACCTTTTGAAACGTGACCGGTGGAATACATTTTTCGTTACAAATATACGAACGATACTAAGTATACTAGAAATCGCACGTAAATTCTACAGGTGAAATTGCATCGATGCGTTTTCAATTGCCCCCGCTGACCTCTATTCGAATTAAATTGGGTGTATATTGATTGTTCGATTACGCGCGTGTACGTATAGTGCGGGCGCGTGCCTTCGTTCGTCATATTTATTTTCAGCCCCGTTGAAAATTGTGATTTTCTAATATGTAAAAGAACAGTTTTTTTTTTCGAACGCGTAAATTATGGAACGTGCGTGTATTGTAAAACATTTCGAACATGTATTTTTCCGATCATTTCTGATACGCTGTACGATTATCTGCCTTTGTCCGTTTCGTTTTCAGCAGCGTGCAACACAATTTCACGATTTGGCACCAAGTGTAAAACAAGATTTGCGCATCGAATACCGGCTCGTCCGTCCACAATTTATCTCGCTTTAGGAAGATAAATTACAAACGCGGTTAAAGTACTTTGTCGAGTAATGTGCGTGTAATAAAGTGCAAATGTAATGTAATAACCATGGAAACGTGCTTCGCAGAAGTTCGTATCCGATTGATTAAACGCTGAACAATATATTTCGATCGAGGACGCGAATTAAGTGGAAATTACCGTGGAAACTATTTCTACGTTTTGGATTCAATTATTAGTATATCACACAAATGGACGATAGATAAATATGGTAATTGACGAATAAAATGTGTAATAAACGGTCGACGTTCGTAACGGTCGAGCGAAGTTTAATCGACGAGAATAATGGAACTCGTTTGAAAAACTGACGACTAACGAATAATTAAGTATTATTAAGTCATAGTAATAATGAAGTACCTGTCATTAGAGGGATTATAAAAAGCGTTCACGACGCTGTAAATACTGTCATTGTGCTATTCACTGTGTTGCGTAACAGGAAACGACAATATACGAGCGGACAATAAATACTTACGTTCACTGTTTTCACCACCATTTCCCTAGACGTTGGATTAATTTCGCTCCATTCACTGGCGTAACACGGACCCCTATGACCGAACAACTGAAACAAAAAAAAGAAACAAAATACTTTTTATCGCAAAAATAAAATAAACTCAACACGATCGCGATTCATTCCTTTTCTTTTTGGTTGAAAACACGTGCTCTATTATGCATTAAGAAATTTACTCAAACCGAACACTGGCTTGGTTTATTTGTTAATTTCTATTTCGATGCTAACTGTATATCTAGCGTGTTTAGTTACAGGGCCACGGGGCGAGAAAAAGGACAAGTGCACCTAACTGAAATTAGGACGAACCTTTGCACTTTCCCTTCCGTTAAGTAATTTCAAGAGTGCCCAAACGCGGAGGCGATCTTCTTTTAGCTTCCAGCTGCTGTGCATTCGTTATATACGGGACTGTAATTCGAGGCATTCGTGCGAGCGAGCAGGCACAACGGAACGGCTTTGCGAAATGGCCAAGCTTATAGAAAATCCTGCGAAAGGAAGCAATTCGCCGAGCCGAAAAGGATTCGAAGCTAAAATCTCCGCCCCCGCCCTCTTTACCCCTCCGCCGTTGACTAGGGAAGAACCAAGGATGCTGAGAGAGGCTGTAAGAGAGCCGATGTGTATTCCAAAACGTAGGCGTCTAGCTGGATGATTGCCAAAGAGCAGAACATTGAAGGGAGGGGAAGAACGCTCATTATGAAAGTTGATACCGTCGATGTCTTTGTTTTGTAATTCTCTGCCTCGTGCCACCCCCTACCCCATCTTTTTCTTGCTTCGCATTGTCGAAAGTTTCGAATTTCCTGCTGCACTACTACCGGTGTTTGTATAGATTGTTTGGTCAAACAATACGAAACTGTTTTGTCTATAAACTGGCGTCGAGCAAAGAGAAGGATGCACAACCCTGTATACGGATTGATTTCTTACAGGCTCAAACTTTCGGATAAATAAATCTACGATTCAGCAGCGGAGGAAAATTTACTGAAACGGGATGCTTAATGCTAGATTGAAAACATACTCCCGTCTGATTTTAAATATCAATATCTTCTATTACGCGAGAAAACATATTAGGAACAATTCAAGACAGTGTATTACATAAGGGGTTTTAATAGCTAACTACTGTCTTTAAAAAAGAGTGCGTTTTCTGCGACGAATTTCTGATAATTTTTAATAAAGCTATAGACAGAATGTAATTAAGAATAAGCAAAATGTAAAGAACATAAAAATGACAAACACTTTCTACGTTACAGAATTGTAAAAACCAACTTTCGAACAATACAAAAATGCGTACACTTTATTTCGAAATACGATTTCACAACAGTACGAAGAAAAGTGACAAAAATACACAATATTTTCTGGGACGCCCTATTATTATCTAACGACGGGCAAACTTCCTGGTTTACATTTGGCGGCATATCGCCAATTCTCTTTTGCGTACCCAATGAACGTACCAAACACCGCATCTTTGTACAGTATTATCAATTCACGAATGTACAGAGAGAATGACAGAACCAGTGATGTAATTTAATTTGAAAAATATATTGGTAAAATTTTGAACATTACGCACTGAAGAAAATAATCGAAAATACTGTCCCGATAAAGTCGTAGGACAAATAATTTCGTGACCTCTCCACGAGAGCGCGCGATCGTCGTTACGATCGATAACCCAAGCCACAGATAAGCTTCGGCGAGGTTGATCTTTCCCTATTCTAATCTGATCGACCAGTATGATCAATTTTCAGACCTTCGAGCGACCTTGCACGATACCAGTGATCATGTCCTCATTACATGTACTAAGACGAAATTGCTAGAAAATTTAGAATCATAATCTGCGTAGAAACTCTTATATAATCATTCATTCACTGTACATAACTTCCACTCGATAGAAGACTCGACAAATAACTATTAAATGCAAATAAATATTCCTAAACAAACTGTAGTTCCATGTTATGCGCATACACTACTATTCTACATGGCAAATTGCTTATGATCAATATTTTAAAAGTCATTTTTCATATTGGCTGACAAAACTTAAATCAGAAAAGAAACTCAAGATTTGAATAATAAAATGTTGCAATGATCAATCATATCGAAGAATTTGACAGATAATAAGATATTAAACTAATCCAATTACAGAAATCCTATATCTTTACGCAAAATTATGCAAACAACCAAGACTACATTACCATTAAATATGTAATCGTTGCTTATGAATAATGTACTTCGAATTTATAATTGTATTAATGTGCAAAAGAAACCACTATATTGTAGCATTCTATATATAAAATATGTTTAAAATTTAATGACAAATTATAGAAAATCTAAATACATAAATACTTTGCCTAGATCCTACTCAACCAATTATATTAATACAAATATCATATGATTAAAATGCAAATAACAATTTTGTGCTTTACACAGAGAGGTTATGTTCAACACTGTGTAGAACGAATTAACCTTAGTAACTTTCAGAAACTTACTGGTGCTATCCATCCAGGTAAACGCCATTCAGTAGTGACTAATCTATGCGAGAACAGAACACCGTCTTTAACTCGTCTGTCGATGACATCCGTACCCAAAACGCATGTGTTCACAGGATTGGGATATTTTCTGGATGCTGCTTTTACCACAGTTTCCCATGGATGCCTGCAAATTCCAAAACATATTCCAATATCCAATGCTGTATATTATAAAGTACATTTTTCTCGTTAAAAGAGAGATATTACAAAATATTTCCCCATCTTAACCTTGAAAGTTATAAATGAATAAACTTCTATACTCGACACTCACTCAAATGTGTGATACGACGTCCAAATCTTCATGTTTGTACAATTCTTTCTGCAGGGCGTAACGTTAAAACTGCAATTTAAATTACAAGTGGCAACACGAAATATGAACAACCTCACCACAAACGAGTTCGTCTACAGACGACACTACTCAATGGTATCCTTTCAACTTTATCCTTTCGTTAAATATTCATCTATCAACAGTTGGTACGCTTGGTCACGCGGAGGTTGGTAACAGATGTCACTGTTTCAAGTACGAGATACATTATTGGTCAACTGTCTTGCACGTCATTCGTGCATTTTATTGCAAAAATTAATTTCTCGCATTTTATTCGATTAAAGTATTATCTGTAATATAATGTATGCTTTCCTTAAATGGAAAGTTACTTTTCTATCCTATCATAAAACAAATAAAAAGTTAAATTTCAACTTTAAAATAATTCGTATTTCCTTTAGACAAATTATATAATCATTCCGGACTGCAAATCTGTTTTAAACCATTTAAAATTGGTGTTCTATGCAAAAAAAAAAAATAATACAGTATAATTTATATTTCAAACTCTAGTAAACTTTTACAAACGTGGATGATGGTATACTAGGTAATAAGTAAACTTTTATGAAACACAAAGTTCATCTTTCGTAATATTCGAATATGTACTCAGTTATATTTCGAAAAACGGGGACTGCAATGAAGGAAATGGTCGTGCATACAACAAATGATTGCGCCCGATATATTTTATATTTTAAATGCTATTTTAGCGGCAAAGATGTCCAAAAGTCATTTTTAGAAGGGAAAGACTTAGAGATCTTCTAAAAAGAAATTTGTATTCTGAAGATCAAATGGTAAATAAGTTTTACTATTCTCCTCTTTTCTTACTAAATTTTCCTTATGGCGTCCTGGAAAGAAAAATTAAGAAGAAATATTGCAATTTAACTCTGAATTGGCCATGTTTAGGACTTTTCAGCTCTTTTACTACACATCACACGATATTTATATTAGAACAATTAGAAGATATATGTCTCCAAAGAGTCCCTAATAATTTGTATATAATCTCTATATATAACATCGGACGACAAACATATGCATCAATTCTTATTAAATTATAAACATATCATTTACATAACGTCAATATTATTCAATTTATGTGAATATAGTATATATACAATAGTGCCCACATAAGTGACCGAATTTTTGCCCACTTAAGTGACCGCGGATCCCCATCAATTCTTAGAAGCCAAGCGGCTTTGAACATCGAGCGTAACTTGACGCTGGTCGTTATTGATACATTGTACATATGGTTTCAGGTGCCAGCTATTGTATCTCATTCGCATTTATCTTCTTTCCTCATCTCTGTTGAATTCTGAGAAATAACCATGTCCACATAAATGACGGCGGCCGGTCCCGAGCGTGGTCACTTATGCGGGAACTACTGTACCATTAAAAAATCAACAGTTTTATTAATGACATCTTACCAAAAATAGCTTGAAGTTTTCTTTGTCCTGATCTGTCTCTGATGTGTAATGGTACTGAAGGTTGAGGACCTTTATGACTCATAATAACATTTTTAGCAGAGTTTAATGCATTATATATAAGATTAGACTTTGGTGCTTTAGCTAGATACACAACACATTGTCCTAAAAGTACATCACACTCTGGCATTCCAACCATTTGACACCCATGCATTGTATGGACAGCTATTCCTAATATGAAAAATTCCAAATATTATTTATTATATTAATAAAGTGTTAAATAATGATCTATTTATGCGAAAAAAAATATCATTCATTTTTCACAATACATACCTAAAGCATCTAGATCTGCTAAACCAACATCTTCACTTGATATTCTTACCAACCGTCTTGCTATATTTACAGGATCTTCTTTAATTGCCATAATTCTTGCTAACCAATATAAAGATGCACTTGCATTGCCACCTTTTATTGATTTATGCAATGCAGAATACAAATGATGAGAGTTGTTGGTTTGTCTATCAGATAGCATATGAGCTTGTTTAAGACTTTCTTTAATATCTTCAAGAGTTATTGACACAAGATTGGAAGAGGTTGGTTTATTTAATACTTTAGTTTTAACTGCTAATTCCAAGCCATTCAGTGCAACACGTGCATCTCCATCACATACTTCTGCTAACCAATCAATTACAGTTCTACTAATAGCAAAATCTGAAGGCTTAGGAGTAAGATCAAGTTTGTTCTGTAAATTGTTTGATGCTTTCTCAGTTTGAGGATCATATATTTTTCCATTAATATACGAAATCGCTTTACAAAGAATATCCGTTATATTTAACATTGTCAATTTATTTAAAACAAATACACGGCATCTACTTAATAAAGCAGAATTTAAACTGTAAGATGGATTTTCTGTAGTAGTGCCAATTAATGTAAATGTGCCTGCCTCTACATGCGGTAGAAAAATGTCTTGTTGAAGTTTATTGAAACGATGTATTTCATCCATAAATACAATTGTTTGATATGATTTAAGTCCACTTTTTGCTTTATTAACAACATCTTTTATGGTATTAACACCAGATGATGTTGCAGAGAGTTTTACAACATGTACTTTACCTGCAGATATTTCCTTGCATAAATGTGATATAACATTAGCCAAAGATGACTAAAAAAATTTAACCAATAAATATCATACAAAATTTAAGACATATAATAAGTAATAATTATGCTACCTTTCCACATCCTGGTGGGCCCCAAAATATCATACTAGGAATACATTGTTTTGATAATAGTTGTTGTAGTACTGTATTAGAACCAACAACTTGTTCTTGTCCAATATAATCATCAAGGTAGATGGGTCTCATTTTTTCAGCAAGAGGAATATATTCTTTATTTAAAATAACTTTATGTTGATTTGTATTTGACATATTTGACATAGGACTGGCTTTATACTTTTTTGATATGTTTGTTTCAACAATTTCTTCATCAGAAAAATGTCTCTTTGGAGTTGACAATGACTCCTACAGAGTTATATCAATTAACAAAAATCACAAATCAACAGGATTTACAAGATACACATTTACCACGATTACATAACCGTTATGTAAATCGTTGTCACATATTCATTGTGTAATTATAGTATAATTACTTTGCAGAAGTAATCGTGACAAATGTAATCAGATTACATTTTGCTCATTTTATAAAACACTGACCCTATACAACGCCATACTAGTTCTACGCTTTGATTGATCATACAATTAATCATAAGACCGAATAATGACGACTCCATACTCCATCCATGGCATCCATTAACTATTGTAGGAGGTAGGAGTTATGCCCGATTGAAAATTGGACCATTTTTATGGGATTTTTGTCACTTCACGTAATAACAACTTTCCGATTAGTTTTGAAATGTCTACATATTCTTCACTAAAATACGCGTTGTTTGCCTTTTGAAACACTAAAATCCTCCAATCCGATCAGAAGTTATGTTTAAAATATACGCATGATCTTTCAGGGAAACATTTCTAACCTCACACTATATTTTTAGTAAAGAATTTTTTTCTCGAAAGTGCGTAGGATTTCGCCAAAAACTGCTTTCGCCTAAAACTGGCCAAAAATGCTTGTAAACACGTTGTTGATAAGTTGTCCCTTCCAGGAATCTTGTCATCTTTGGAGTTTTTAAGAAATAATCCACCTAAATTTGCATCAACGTAACAAACGTAACCCATTACCAACGACCCTGAAATGTACTGAAGAAATATTGCTCATTCATAGAAATAATAAAAATGCCTGGGCAGTCGAGATTCGAAATTGACGCGAGAACGGACTTCAGCTGTTCAAGATAAAAAAAGTTATGCAAAGTGCCGAGCTCACATAAAATGGCTCCTACGGCAGATCATTTGAATCATGTCTCTTTTAGACGCTAAGTTTGTCATTACTAGTGTCGCCGTCGATGTAGTCAATTATAGCTAAATCTGGCCACACTGATATAGACCTATTATCCAATACATTTTTTTATCGTATGTGTCGGGGTGTTACATAGCACCACACCATTTTCATACCATTATCAACATTAACGGTTTCAAATTAAAACGTATTTAAACATTTGAATCGTTTACGATTAAAATTTACCCGTCTCCGATCATACTACTTATAAAAGATTTTAGAACGTTTATTATTGATCGAAATGGTCTAATAAAATATATTATGTTGTTGAATTTTTATATATTAATTTGATGGCAAATATTAAGCAATTAAGTAAATTTTCACGTTTGTAAACCATTACTGAATACAAATGTCACGTGATTCGAACAAGCTAACAACAAATATGGCGACTAGAAGAATTGAAAGTTTTATCGCTCTTATTGGAAAACCCTACATTATGTTATTTTAAATAAAGAAATGTTTGTTCGTGTAAGTGTTTAATAATAAGGAAATTCATGTCGTGGTATTTGAAAAATTTTGCTTACATGGATTTGTAAATACATTTAGAATATTCTTTTGCAGAACTTTGTACATCAAGAAAAGTAATTTATTTGATAAGTATGTCAAATACGTGGAACAGAAAACTTTATCGCGATGAACAAGAAGCATTTGTTTCTAATCATGGGGGAACAACAGCCAGAGAAGTTATTTATGCAATTATGCCAAATATATGTACAATTCTTTTAACCATTACTACATTAGGTCTTCTGGGACCATCTATTCACAGAAATATTAGAATTTTGGTAGAATTTACACTACTTATAGTTCCACCCATTTTATGCTGTACTATATTATCTGAGCACATTGTTACTGTCTGCTGTGCTATAATGTTGATATCTATTATTAATATCTTATTATTAGGAATAACTTCAAATCCTTTACCAAATTACGATTCAAGACCTTATTGCGGCAAAAAGCCTTTCATTACAAATTTTAGAGCAATAACCAATATTTTAACAGCAATATGTATATTAGCTATAGATTTTCGTATTTTTCCTCGCAAATTTGCCAAGACTGAGGTATTTGGGTATAGTTTAATGGACACCGGTGTTGGATTATTTATATTAGCAAATGCTTTAGTAGCACCAGAAGCTAGAGACTTTACTACCAAACCAAGGATAGGTTTCTTCCATACTTTATCAAGGAATATAAAACAGTCGGCTAAAAGTTGTATTCCACTTTTGATAGTAGGTTTTGGTCGTTCCATTGCTATCGAAATTATGGGTTATCAAAAACATGTAACCGAATATGGGACCCATTGGAACTTTTTCATAACTCTTGCTTTTGTGAAAATATTTACTAGTTCCATAACAAGTACTATCAAATCGCAGTATTCCTTATTATCAGGTATCTGGATTTTAATGATGCATGAATATATTTTAAGTACTCAGGGATTGAAAGAATGGGTTTTGAGTAATAGTCCAAGGGATGATTTTGTCTCTGCTAATCGTGAAGGAGTAGTCTCTGTACCTGGATATGTAGGGCTTTATTTAGTAGGCATAGCAGTTGGCAGGTTGATACATTCCACTTATTATAACAGGTATGCGCAAAATTCAGTGCCATACAAGCATAATACTTTTTGTGTCAAAATTTTTGGATATGAACTTTATGCAAGTTACAACGAATCTATGATATTGTGTGTCAAATTATCACTGATAGCGGCACAAACATGTGCAGCGACGTTGTTCTGCGATGCATACTTTAAAGTTTCGAGGCGCTTAGCGAATGCAGGTTATTGTATGTGGGTACTCACTCTCGGTGTTACGATACTCACGTTATTATTACTGATAGAAGTAATTACTGATATACTAATTCATGCAACCACAAAATCCGCGTCTAATAAATGTGAAAAAAGTTCGATCAGCAATACGATCGAAATATTCGAAGCTGTTAATTATAATGGTTTATTCTTCTTTCTACTATCGAATTTGATGACTGGTGGTATTAATATGTTAGTACATACATTATATGTAAATCAACTAAAAGCTTTACAAATATTGATTGCATATATGGCTGTAAATATCACAACAGTTTTATTTTTCTATAGAAAACAGGTACAAATTAAGTGATAAAAATGTATGATTCGTTGTATCACTTATTTATCAGGGAATACGATTTTGTATATTGTACCACGTAATTATGTACATATCTCCAAGCCAAATATACTTATAGTATTAGCATTAGCAGTTAATAATTTCAGACTATTGTCACTGCCATTATTTGTACATATATTGTATTCCATATTTATTACTTCTTTTTATGAAAATAAGTATGTACATGAATCGGTATAAAAATAAGTAAAAAGCTTAATTGGTAACAAGTCGTTTGTTTCGTTCGATTTAACTATAACATTCATTATTAATCTATTAAACATTAAAATATGTCGTTGTTGTCGAAATTGATTGTCTAAAAATTCATTATAATTCATCTTTGGGTTGAACATCAGGCTTCAATTCGGTCGATACTTTCGACTTAGGAGTTTCGACGTCTTTAACGTCGCTTGTTCTAGTTTCGTTTTTCACTTCCGATCTTTTAGTTTGCGCTCGTTTACCAATGAATCTTTTAAAACTGTTATGATTTTTCACGTGATCCCTAGCAAGTGAAACTATGCGCAAGAATTCTTTAACATCGAAACTATAATTCGTGAACTTTGCGTGAGCTCCTCCGTCAGGGTGCGTACCCTACATAATATTTAAATTACTCTTGCAATGAAATTAATTTGGCCTTTTACCTGAAATACGTAAAACTTAGACCATCATACTTACGGGATCTTGTTGTACTAATTTCGAAGTATTCTTCCACGTGAAATATTTTACACCGCGTAAACGAGCGAGATCTTTGTAACATCCTGGATCTTCACAGTTATATCTAAACAATAATAATATGTAAGAAGTACAGCCACTTCGCGAGAGAAAAAATATATGCACGTACATTTCGAACACGGCTGCCCAATCCGGTAAAAACATCAGATGCGACAATCCAGCTCCATGAATACCAATAAAAATATCAGAGTTTCTCGTAATCTCTAGTTGCTTTTTGAACGATACCTTTTTATTGTAGACTACCTGTAAGAATAATATTTTTATTCCATTTATTATACATCGTATGTGAAATCAACTTATTTATTAAACCAGTTACCTTTCTGACTCTATATTCTCTATTCTCTTTCAGAGCTTCCACCAACTCGTCTTCGTTTAAGATTTTTCTGTATTGCGTGTCTCTGCTGAGCAGCGTTACGCGTATCCTTTGGTTTTTTCTCTCGTGAAGAGGTATGTGTAGTCTGTGCAACACGTGATCACTGAAAGCTTTAAATAATCCGCTTTTCTCACAGCCGTAAATCTAAAACGTTACTCAGCCATTAAACATTTTTATCGTACGTAGAGAAGAAAGAGTAAAATAGAGTCGTACGAGAGGTGTATTGTAATAAAGACCAAAGATCATGCGCGGCAATAACGGGAACACAAGATTCTTGAAGCAGACAGTTTCCCCGCGGAATGTTTTTAAATCCCACAGCGGGTTTCTTGTGAAAGCCTCGAAGGTGTCTTGAAACGCAGAACGGTAACTGAAAGCGAGAGAACGATTGGTATCTAGTATCTCTTGGTTTTTCTGTTGCGTCGGTGTCAGTTACCTGTAACTTTCCCAGATCATTATGTGATTGTCAGTGCTGAAGGCAGCGGGGTGCGAGAGGTTTACGTGCAATGACGTGTACAAGTTGAAAAAGTCGCAAAAATGATGATACATGTTTACTACTGAAACAGAACGACTTTGGCAAATGAGTGGGTGCCTAAAATTTGCGTGTTGAATGGTGCGAAATTCAACGTGGAATCTTTTTTTTAGGACTTACTAGCATCTATTTTCATTATGTACGTCGGTTTCTCGATAACGATATCACAGTCGCCGTTAACGATCGGCGGTCGAGGTAACTTTTGGAAATTTCGTAATTCTGGTCCCCACGATTGCAACGGGCTGATGTGATCCGCGTTGCTTTGCAGTCTTTTCTCATTTAATCTGATTCACAGAAACGGCACGATCATTAAGTTTGTAATAAACGTACGTCGTACAGTTCGCGTGTTCGTTACGTACGTGCAGTATCCACCGATTTGGCCTTCCTTTAATACATCCATTTTGTAGCGTATCGGTTCCTTTCTTTGGAGCAGATCAGTGAAATTTATCATTACGTTTCTCGCTCTACAGAATCTCATGTGTTCCGAGCATTCTAGAGACGAATCATCCTTTAATGAAAAATATTATACAAATGAAATGCAAACGGAAATATAACGTTTTATTTTCTAACCGCGTAATCTAGATATTGAACTTACTAAAAATAATGGCTCGCAGAAAATCGACATTTCCTTCCTCTGATCGCGTACATAGCCAAAATCGCCTTGAGCGTAAAACGTGTCTAATTGAGCTTTCTTCGTTGTCACCCATCCTTTATGATCACCTGGACATTGAGGAACGGAAAAGGAATTTTCGGCTTTGCAATTCGGCTCGTAACCCCAACAAGCTTTGGTATCGAGACTGTCCTAAGGTTTTGAAAAAAAATTCTTCGTTAATATCCATCTTTTGTGAAGTCTAATCGTCGTGTTTGAACTCGCGAAGCTCTTTAAAGTTCTATAGAACTCCCGTACGCTTTCGCGCCAACGAAATAAAAAAGGAAAAGAAGCGAAGAATACGGAAATTCGTTTTCATAATCGTGTTATTAATACACCATGTAATTACCTTGTACGGACAGGCGGTATTATTGCGGCAGTCTTCGGCTACCGTGGGAAAGGAGTTGAAGTAATACTTGATGTGATCGGACGGCAGATCAATATTTGTATAATTATTATGAGTGACATTGACCAAGAACATCAGAACGATCGACACTGAAACTTTACTGAATAGCGTGTTATCGGTCATCGTAGAATACAGTAACAAAATAAATCGGAATTCCTTAAGTCAGTCTCGTGCAGCGCTTGCTTTACAGAGTGACTGTACAGCGTGAATGGAGTAAGAACCACCTGTACCAGCGATGGGTATATGACCTCACCCACTGTAGGCGCTTTGTCACACAAACGCGAACGTCCGTACACCCACACAACCACGAGCGTGTCTCCTTAAAAGAATTGGTGAAAGTCAATGCTAGAGTTACGCAGACAGTGCCTTACATCATTCATTGTGTCGACGCGTACCTACCAAGCTATTCTTGTAAATTTGTCAGCAACGGAACGAATGTCACGGAGGGCCTTCATTTTATTTTCGAAAACATACCGGTATTTTAAATCCTATTAATCCAATCGATGATATAGCTGGGAGTGTAGTGTTTCTTTTTTTTATTGGATACTATATAAATTAAATATGTACTTACATGCGTTCAATGAGTGCAAGAAGCAGTAGTCGACGATTTCTCACCTCTCGCAAGTATGAGAGAGGAAAGTTCGGAGCATAGGCATCTGATTTGTCTTACACGCACGAGTAACCACTTTACATGTGTACAGCTTCAATATGGCCGACACTATCACAAATGCTCAAACAACTCTTTTTCTCGTCGACAATGTACTTTGCACGTTATTCGAGTGCCAATGGAGAAAGCAGATTGAAACGCACATTTGTATTTACGTATGGTTCAAAATGTTGTTACTTGGCCCACAAGAATTTTGATTTCTTTGATGCAACGTTTAAATCTTTTTCCTTACGACCCCTCGCACGCGACGAAGAAGCGAATCGTTATAGTAGATCATCTCTAGATGATTTCGAACAATTTACAGTTCAAACTAGGTGTTCTGATATTGTAAATAAATTACATTCCTTTGTATTTTCACTAGTACGTAACTCAATATCTGGTAACTGGATTTTTATAAATCATTTAACGATACAACTAGTCTGATCACCTTACATTATTGTGAGTAAATATCTAAACTCTGTATCCACAGACGAAATATGTATAAGATAGACCTAACATCTTATGGGATTTGTATCTATACCAAAACTGTATTATCGATTCATAATTTGAGGGCAGAACTGATTATTGTGTAATATTGCCTTGGTTATTTACTTATTTTTTAAATATTTTATTAAATTATGTAAAAAATATGAATAGAAACATTACTTCTAGTTATTGTAAATGAAATTTTATTTGGTAAATAGGGAGTTTAAATTTTCCAATAATCAACAACTTTTTTAATATATACCTATGGTTTATTTTATTTGATTATTACTCCATTTCGAGGTTTAATGTTTTATAAAATTCATTCTGCATAAATCACTGAAGAAAGGGAAGCATCTAGACAATATGAGAACCTGGAAATATAACATGAATAAATTAGAATATTTGAACCCAACGGCATAGGAACAAGATCCTGAATAAAGAGACGAAAGGACCCTTTTCTCCCTTTAATATTTAGGACTCGATAGAACTACTCAAAGATCGCGAAATAATTTTTCTTTTCTAGCGAAAAGAACAAAATAGTAATACGCTCCTGGAATTCCAAGAATGCCTAGTGGCGTCATCTTTCGGTTGTAGTATTGACGTAAATACGTTAGCGTGGTGCGTTCAAAACATTCTAATGACAATAAAGAAAAAATTTTAATTATTGTATTAAGTACATAAGCATTTCTAGTATAAATGTGATTGCTGGGAAGTAAAAGAATTATGTGTGATTATTCGAAAGAAATGGATGTGCAAATAACAAGTTTCCTAACCTATAAATATTACAAAATTCTGAGTACAATAAAACAAATGTTATATGTGATTTCCGTTAACAAAGCGTTGGAAACTTGGAACGAATAGTTACCCAGTTGGAAAGATAAGTATATTATGATAATATCGAGAGACAATTACTTTACTAGACAATGATTGTTAAGAAATCTGTGTTGTTTGAATATTATAGAAACATCCAAGAATATTGATTCTGTGAAGCGGCTGTTTATCCATGAGTCTGTAAGTAATGCAATTGTGTTGTAAATATTATACTATGGAAGCAAGGTTCAATTTCTTATTAGTGTTATGGGTGAGAATTATCAGTCATTGTCAGAAAGGAGTTAACGAATGCAACACCTGTTAATGCCAGTTAGAAATATGTAAGCATTCTTGCATAGAATAATAATTTATTTGGAATAAAGTTTGTAATTTCATACTATAGTGTAATCCCTTGGCAATATTCGGGTGCACATTTCGTAAACATTTTGTTTGGAATTAAATTGTTAATTGCAAGTTTTGGAAACCAGTATATTTATAACTTTATTAGCATTATCATACTCTATTGGATACTAGAGTAGGATGAAGATTATTGTTTCATAAGTATCGAGTGCACAATTGTGACAATATTCAAAGATTTCCGTTGTAATTAATTCGAAGATGTGCGTATGGCGCCATCTGTGAAAGTGAGAGGCAAATTTGCTAATAAAGAGTATATGTATACCAGTATTTAATGGCTGTTACATTTATAATATATTTCTCGTGTTGTCAGTAATTATTAACAATGAATTAGGATTGGATGTAAGTCATCTATAAATGTAAGGAATAATCTATAATTATATAAATACATTATGATATAAATTAAAGTTTATTGAGTGTAATGTATAAGCAAAGAAAAAGAAAAGCAATGCAATACAAATATAAGAAAATGAACTAAAGCACGCTGATACAAATATTTCGTATAATTATGAATGAAGCTATATATACATACTATTTCCAAGTTGTTTATCTATTATCGAGTTTATCGAAAACGTGCATGTGCTTTGATAATTTTTTGGTCATTATCAGATACTAATTCCCCGTGTCTAAGTTTATCTTTATACGTGCACGATAACTTTTTACATGTTTCGTGATGCGTGCACAGTATGTTATATTTTTTATGATAATTACGTTATAAAACCCTATTATATTTTATACCATTTTATGGTATAAAATATTATACAGTGTTCGGCGATCCCTGAGAAAAATTTTAACGGGAGATTCTAGAGGCCAAAATAAGACGAAAATCAAGAATATCAATTTCTTGACTGAGGCTTCGTTAAAAAGTTATTAAAAATTAAATTAAAAAATTTCAAATCATTCTGAAAAAATTATTTTTGGTTACGAAGGTCAATTACCATCATTTTTTATGAATATACATGCTCCCGAATTCCTACTCACTTTCGAGAAAAAAATTCCTTACCGAAAATATAGTTTGTGGCCAGAAATGCTTCCATGTAATTTCATGCGAATCTTTAAAACGTCATAACTCTTGAACGGTTTGAACGATTTTAATGTTTTAAAATGCAAACAACGCGTATTTTGGTAAAGAATATGTGGAAATTCCAAAAATATTCGAGAACTTATTCCTTGACTCCGCAAAATGTGAAAAACCCCATAAAAATGGTACAGTTTTCAAACAGTCATAACTCCTGCAATAATGAATATATTTCATTGAAATTTTGGGGGGAAGTAGAGTTCGTGGACATCTATAAAAAAAAGTACTACACAATTTTTCTGTAAAATGTCAAACAAAATTACTAAAAATGAAAAACGAATTTTTAAAAAAAATCGACAAGTGGTAGGTGCCTAAATTTTTCGGCGAAAAAGAAAATGTTCAAATCGTTCTGGAAAAATTATTTTCGGTTGCGGGGGTCAATTACAATCATTTTTGGTGTATAGACATACCCTCGAAATCGTGTGCATTTTCGAGAAAAAAATTCAGTACGGGCAGAACTTTAAACGTTAATAACTTCTTAACGAAGCCTCCATCAACAAATTGGTATTCTTGATTTTCGTCTTATTTTGGTGTCCAGAATCTCCCATTAAAATTTTTCTCAGAGGTGGCCGAATACCCTGTATATTTAAAACGAAATATTTGATATAATAAAATACGTTAGGGAATAAGTTGCAAAGAAAAATAACAACGACGCCTGTATTGTACTAACGAGTTTTAGTTCGTCGTGGATATATTCTACTGATAACTCAGTCTCATAAATTATAAAGAGACGTACATACATACATATACATGTATGTGGAAGGTAGAGAAAGGCACGCTGGAAAAAGTCGAACTAGGTTCCGCAGCTCTTCCATCTGTATTGATCTAAAAACATAGGAGAGGGAGATTAGGCTGGCAGGAAAAATAACTTCGTGGTCGCGGACACGTGTATAAAATAAGACGTAAACTAAGTTATTCATGCATACGATGTAGTACTATGCTCTGGAATGCGTTGCGGGAGTTCAAGTTTTACTTGGCAAGTACGAGTTTCGCAATTTCACATCGGTTGTGACACCGGTTAACATATTCATGAACTGTCCCTTTCGCCCAAGAAACGAAAACAAACTAACAGGTGGCCGTAATGGAAACGTCATAAAATAATAACAATGATACGGCGATATACTACTACAGTATTTAAATGTGTTAATATATTAGAGCGTCGATATGGAACTATAATGTTTATGTGTTCTTTTGCGAATTCTGATTTATCGAATTGACAGTGTACTTGATATTTATCGATAAAACTAATACCGTGAATCTACGGAATGTCACCAATACACGAATCTTATTACAAGTTACAAAATGGTGAAATTATTTTGTATTCTTATGCATTTGTATTGTAAGCATGTATGTATAATACGAGATAATAGATTTTGTGTAATAGAGAATACTGTTGTATTTATTTCTACGTTCCAAATGTACGAATACTTTTATCCCTCATTGTGTGTCCTGGTAATTATCGCGAGTGGGGGAACGGGAATCTCTAAAAGATAAACGAGCGGTCTCGAGCGGGACACGAGTTAGAGCATGAACTCGAACCGAAGAGCAGGCAGGGACGCAAGGTCTCTATAAATGCGTGCATGCGTATACATGATTTCCAGTTGGTGGGAGGTCAGCCTTTCGGCGAGAACGATACACACTGCGTATACGGGACGTTTTTTCTACTCATCCTTCCTTTCTTTCTCTCCTCTTCTTCGTCCTATCTTCTTGTTGTCCCCAAAACTCGTGCAGTGTATTCGTGTTATGTTAGGCCTCCGCTGGTACTTTGCACTCGCGTGTTTATTACTTCCGAGAGATAATTGATCCGTCTAATCGAAACTACACAGTGCTCACGCACGATTAAATTCATTCCGTGAACAGAACGACGTACGTTACATAAAGCTGACGAAAATGTGGGACCAGTATAACGCAATATTGCGAGGATTAAAGGTTTCTCTAGTGTAATCTATTCGATGTTGTTCACGGATATTTAATCAAGGTGATAGCGCCTACGCGACGAACAAGTGCCAGAGAATGCATTTCTATACTCTATGAATTGTAAAGTAATAGAAAGTGCTCGTTAAGGTATAAGCGTTACACGCGAATGTATTTTGAAGCTTTCTCGATGTGATTGGACAGTGATGGTGCAGCATTATTTTTACCGTTCGTATTATAGATAAAAGTGAGAAACGGTGACTGAAATGTTAAACGTTTGGAAATTAAAGACTGACCGATTTAAATACACAATTTATACGCAGTTGTGAACTGGTCAGTTAACATCTATATGCTGAAATTACTGACCCGATAATCACGTGCGATCGAAATGTCAGTAGACGCGTAAACACGCTAAGAGTGCACGCGGTTAGCAGCATCGCTGTCATTTCACTCAGAGAAACGAGAGAATGCAAACACAACGCTGATGAGTCAGTCGGTCGTGCCTACCAGGTGCGCTTACATCCATAAACAGTTCTAATGATTCGACTATCGAGCTGCGTAATTTGATCCGCTGCTCCTATAAAGCGCCCGTTTGTTTTAAAACTATCGTCCACTGTGCGGCGATACATTGAACCGATATCCGGTGCACAGTTGTTCAGCATTCCAACAGGACGTGGTGTACTATGCATAAACATTAACGCGTTCCAAACCGGAGAAATTGCTGGATCAACGTAAACAAGTTAAAAGAAAAATAGAAGAGAGACAATAAATTTACCTGATAATATTATAAATAAATTAAACGAGATACTTACGTGTTTGCAATTTGTTTGCAAAATGTGGAACGCGCTGAGAGAATTTCTGGAACAGTTCCTGTTACCAGGATTATTCCTAGTGATTTTATATTACTTCTTCACTTCGACCTTCGACTTCTGGGAGAACCGAGGCGTGCCATTTCGAAAACCGACCGTGCTCTTCGGCAATTTTGCACCCATGCTCCTGTTCCGGAAATCTCTACCGGAAGGCATTAACGAGATGTACGAATGGTTCAAAGACGAAAGATTTTTCGGGGCGTTTCGCGTCAGGACGCCGGTGCTGATCCTACGAGACCCGGACCTAATCAAGAATATTTGTGTCAAGAATTTCGCTTGCTTCTCGAACCGTGGCATACCGGTCAATTCTCAGGTAATTTTATCGCACGAATAAATTTAGTTAATCATACGTATCTCAACCCAGTTAACTCTCTGTTTCTATTGCGAATAATACTTATTCTCGTACCTTGAACCATCGACATAATTTTTGGGTCCATCATGATATTGCCCATGCTCCTCTCCCTGTGTATTGTAAAATTCTATTAGTATCGTTGTATATCGGCCAATTCTCAAGTAATTTTATCGCACGAATAAATTTAGCTAACCATACGTATCTCAACCCAGTTAACTCTCTGTTTCTATTGCGAATAATACTTATTCTCGTACCTTGAACCATCGACATAATTTTTGGGTCCATTATGATATTGCCCATGCTCCTCTCCCTGTGTATTGTAAAATTCTATTAGTATCGTTGTATATCGGCCAATTCTCAAGTAATTTTATCGCACGAATAAATTTAGTTAATCATACGTATCTCAACCCAGTTAACTCTCTGTTTCTATTGCGAATAATACTTATTCTCGTATCTTGAACCATCGACATAATTTTTGGGTCCTCGGTGATATTGTCCATGCTCCTCTCCCTGTGTATTGTAAAATTCTATTAGTATCGTTGTATATCGGCCAATTCTCAAGTAATTTTATCGCACGAATAAATTTAGTTAATCATACGTATCTCAACCCAGTTAACTCTCTGTTTCTATTGCTAATAATACTTATTCTCGTATCTTGAACCATCCACATAATTTTTGGGTCCTTCATGATATTGTCCATGCTCCTCTCCCTGTGTATTGTAAAATTCTATTAGTATTGTATCAGGGAACACGTCTAATGTCTAAATTACGAAATTATGGAAAATGAACGCGTAACTGTTTCTTATAATAGGATCCATTGTCCGCTCATCTGTTCAACCTGGAAGGAAAGAAATGGAAGAGCCTCAGATCCAAGCTGACTCCAGCCTTTTCATCCGGCAAACTGAGGAGGATGTTTTATCTTCTGGCGGAGTGCAGCGAAGAGTTTCAGAAATTAATTGGCGCATCCTCGAGGTCTGATAGGCCGTTTGAGGTTCGCGAATTGGCGGCGAAATTTACAATAGACGTCATTGGTACCTGCGCGTTCGGCATACAAATAAATGCGCTCACCGACGAGGAATCCGAGTTTCACAGAGCAGCGACCAAACTCTCGAAGCCGAGTTATAAGGCCACGCTCTGGAGGATGCTTAGAACGGCCGTGCCGAGATTGTACAAGCTTTTAGGCGTTCAGGTGATCGATCCTGGTGTAACGAAATTCTTCAAAGACGTCGTATCGCAGATGATCAGCCAACGAGAGGAAAATGACATTAAGAGGCACGACTTCATGGACTTGTTGATCGAACTGAAAAACAAAGGCACGTTAGAAAGCGATTCGGGAAATGGGCAGATCTGTAACGACGAGGATGCAGAGACGACTGAAGAAATAGGTACGTTGTTTTACAAACGTATAAGAATCAATTATGCTTGAGGACAAGCGAGAATAGCTGGGCAAAGTCGTTTCATGGCATCTATCGTTTAAAACATCCAATCTTATGTTTTATAATTAAAAAAGAATATAGAGAAAATCGAATATTAACAATTTTTAACTCTACAGTTTCTTTTTTATATTCAAAATAATATTATGGAAAACGAAAAATTAAACGATCGTTTAAATTTGTTATATTTTTCGAATATATATTTATCAAGAGTGCTTAATAAGTTGGTACAAATTCTCAAGTCTTCCAAGTTGAACTTCTTCAATAGCTTGTACCGGTTTTAAACAACTCAATTATATTAATTGGAGAACATTACGCAATCGATAACTTTCTTCGATCAATATACGAGTTGTTCGTTGTATGATTGGAGCAATTACGATGCGTAGCCGTAAACGGTACAGTTCTGTTACAAATTAATCAAGATAAAATCGACAGTAAGTACTTCATTCGTAGCTACACCAAGATCTGCATAGCTGCAATGAAACCATGCGTAACGTTAATCAAACGTTCCATTAATTTCATACAAAGAATGTATTCTCGATTCGTACTTGAAACTTATACTTATCACTTGCTGGGTATTAATACAATTTATCCACCTATGACTTATTCAAAAGTTATGTGAAAAAGTATTCTGTTCAAAATAATCCAATAATCTCGTATCTAAATTCACATGTATCAAATTCTGGGAAATGAATTGTAACGAATAGCGTAAATATTTTAAACCATTACACAGTAGAATATTCGTTTGAATCAACTTGCGTTAAAATAAAAATTTGCAAAGATTTTACCTATTACAGAAAAAAAACATTCGCCTTGAATTAAGGAGGACGCGGTACCATGACTAAGCAGAATGTTGACAGTGTTGAGTAATTTTTTCCATTCCCAGACCTTCCAAAGGCTGGCTAAAACGTTTGACTCAACACGGTTCTTCCGTCTTGCAATACATGTTTTTCCACTTTGCATTTAGTATCGCAAGATCTTTAAAATGTACTTAGTTTATATACTATAAATAGCTTTCAAGATATTGGTTGCCTTATTCGAATATATGTATATTTTCACAATTATCTTAAGCAGTGTATTTCTTACTTTGTCGGTCAAATGTCAATATTTTGTGTAAGTAGTAGGCATTCGTTTCATCAAACTTACAGTTGTTTGATTATGGAAATAAATATTCGTGTATCGCGTGTAACCAAACGAAAAAAGATAAACCGATATATCTTTGGCCCCGTATCTTAACGATGACTAATTAAAAATGGCAAAATTATGATCGTTTCCCTGTCGGAGTTTCAGCGCTAGCCATATATTAAAGTTTGCCCATTTGACGGACGAACGTTAAAAAGAAAAGTCATCGTTAATAAAGATTCCTATTGAATGGATTTATCGCATAAGCATTGTTATTTATAGAACTGGACGAGAACAGTATTGCCGCTCAAGCGTTTGTATTTTTCGTCGCTGGTTATGAAACTTCCTCGAACACCATTGCGTTTTGCCTTCACGAACTAGCGCTGAATGCTGAAATTCAAGAAAAGACGAGACGCGATATTCACGACGCAATTAACAACAGAGGTGGCAAATTAACTTATGATGCGGTCCAGGACATGAAATACCTTGATATGGTGATTTCAGGTAAAAATCAACGCATTTATTTACAAACTGTACCCATTGGAATTCATCGTAGACGGATTAATATTAGACGGATTAGATACCCTAAAACATAAAGGAAAAATATAGCCGATTGTATAGATAATCACATGATATGACAGATCTTATCGATATGATGTAAATAAAGAGCGCGTAAAAAATTTTCCGAAATATTATAGTACAGAATTTGTAAATTTCACAAAGAAAAATCAATAGTCAAAGGTGTTTGAAATATTGTTGCAATGTTTTCGAAATATTAAAAACAGTAAACGTAAAGCAAAAGATTGCTGCATTATTTCAGAAATAATTCTTGAAATATTCCAATATTGCAAAACAATATTTTAAACGTGTTTCAGCGGTATTGTGTTCCGTATGAGAAATGACCTTGAGCTCTTGAAAATTGTGATCGTGGAAAAGAAGTAACTTCTATCGTACTGTATGTTGTTTCGAATTAAATATTTTTCTCCCTTTCTATCGCCAAAAGCAACGAAGATGTTTTGGATTCTAAGGTCAGGTGACTTATCCTGTATATTTTCAGCCAAAACAGAGATTATCGGATCGATATTCAAAGAAAATTAATTTATTTAAATTCGTTACAGAAACACTCCGGAAGTACCCACCGGCATCGCTGCTTTCCCGAAGATGCGAGTATCAATACCAAATACCAAATACAAAAGTCGAGTTACCAGCGGGTATACGGGTAATCATACCAATCTATGGGCTTCATCATGATTCCGACTATTATTCGAATCCGTCAACTTTTGATCCTGAAAGATTCACGGAAGAGAACAAACGAACGAGGCATCCGTACACATATCTTCCGTTTGGAGAGGGACCACGAAATTGCATAGGTAATTTTTTTACTACAATTAGATCTCAGAAAGAATCGAAAATTATTAATATAGAGTAAAAGTAATAATAATGAAGTTGGAATTAACAAAAAACAACGTAGTTTATTCAGACGTACTCACTAATTTTTAGAAACCAATTTGCGACAGTCTTTTTCGGCAATAACAACTTCAATAACATCGTATCGATCAAACTGATATATTTAAAAACATGTATATTTGTTTTTAGGAATGCGATTCGCGCTCTTACAAATCAAGGTAGGTATAATATCGTTTTTAAGAGATCATCGAGTGGAGATCTGCGAAAAGACTGTCACGTCGTTCAAGTTCAGTAGACGCAGTCTCGTAACTTCGAGCGAGAGTGGATTCTGGCTCAAGATAGTACAACTTTTAAAATAGAACATCACCATTCAGGTTTATTACGTACTTAATATCGGTACGTCCAGTGGTTAATTTTCAATATTGACTGTTTATTGTATTTTTTTACTTATACACTGCACTGCAAATATTAAATACGTTGGTGCCTTTACCTTTGTCTTTTGAACAAAGCAAAGATTGTACTTTATTTTGGATCAATAATTTACAAATTTTTGGTAAGGTTTGAGATTTGTAACATACTTTTATTACGTTTATCTTAACTGAAACTTTTTTTTACAAAGATTCATCATTCCTTAATAATGCCCCAACAGAATGGATAACCCATAACAAACAGCAGCATGTATGTATATAATTCATCTCAACGAGAATCTATTGTATCCCGTGCGTCGTCTTAAGGGTTCAACGAATGTACTTCTATTATTTAATACCTCTGCATCATTCTTTGTGAAAATAAATTACAAATATTGTTATATAAATGAAACATTTATATTTTTTTAAACATTTGATATGTTCTATACCAAGAATTATTATAATCTATTCAATGAAATAAACATTGTACAAATAATGTATGTAGTACAAACTATTTATTATGCTACAATTATTGATAATTCGGTGATTTACACTCTTCAAAGTAGCAAATAAACTTGTAATATCTAGGTTTAATATTACTTGTTTACTCTATTTATACCTCATTTATACAGGGTGTTCGGCCACCCCAGGGACAAATTTTAATCGCCGATTCTAGAGGCCAAAATAAGACGAAAATCAAGAATACCAATTTGTTGATTGAGGCTTCGTTAAAAAGTTATTAATATTTGAAGTTCCGCCTGTAGAATGGCAATCTGTGAACAGTTGCGTACGCGCGATAGTGGCTCACACTCAGAAAACTGTAAAGCTGTCAATATGTCAGTAAGTAGAGTCTCTCATGCTGAGTGAGAACCACTATCATGGGCGCGTAGCTGTTCGCAGGTTGCCATCCTTCAGGCGGAACTTTAAACGTTAATAACTTTTTAACGAAGCCTCAAACAACAAATTGGTATTCTTGATTTTCGTCTTATTTTAGCCTGTATAAACCAAAGAATAATATTTTATAAAGATGTTATGTAATGCAATTTTAATCAGTACTTAAACATTTTTACAGAACTCATGTATATGTTTTTTTTTTTCTTAAGATATACATAGCCAATTGTCTGCAAAACCTTTATTAACAATAATAAGTAGAGCTTTGAAAAAATGAAATACTTTTGAATATGTTTTAAACAGATTACCATATGCATTAATTTTCTATTATTTATTTACCGTATTCTTTCTTTGGCGAATGTTAATAAAAAGTAGATTACTCAATGAGTAAGAATAATATGGTGGACTGTTTATAAAAATCGAAAAGATCTTCTACGAATCAAAAAAAATTTCTACTGCTACATACTGAAGATTGAAAACTGATTATTTTAATCGATATCTTTCTGTTATCAAATTATTGTAAATGATTAAAAAATCGTGTATATCGTTACGATAAACATCCGGCAGACGCCTGTCACTTCGCGCTGTTAACACAAAAATGGTATCCCTAACTGTAAGCGTTCCTACGCATTGCATGTATTAAATCAACTCTACTCAAATAAGGCTCGATGTTCATATTGAATAGATTAACCAGCTGATCAAACGACACATTGAATAGAGCATAATGTTCCGAAATGTGTATCATCGGTAGTTATAATTGCATCTACACATCTACATTACATTCAATTTTTCATTACACTGTATCGTTATATCGATTACAAGCTCACAGACAAGGTATGAGGCATTTGTGACTCTGTGCAACTCTGTGCTTCTGGTTGTGCATTGTCTGTGGTGGAAGCAGCTTCAAGTCAGTGCACTCTATATACGACTCATAGAATAATTTATATGTAGGTATTCACTACGTATACGCACGCACGGTGAGGTCGTTATGCACGACGGCCAATAAAAAGATTGAAAATGTTATTTCCTTGATTAGGTGACAGTGCTTTTTTGTAAACTGTATCATCTTTCTACTTGGAAATTTTCTCCAACATTTGACAGTGAAACATTCCACTGAAAATAATGCTACGGTGAGCCGTAATTCTGTTTACGTAAACGTATAACACTTCCGTCTCTTTAAATTGATAACGCGGGTCTTTAAACAATACATTTATAGATATTTTATCTTATATAAACAAATGTCGTGATTTGCATCAGTCGTAGTCGTAATACCTTCGATTAAATATTTTTTCCATTCACTTATAGCAACTATAATTTTCAAGATTTATTAATAATGTATTAATAACGTCTGCGAATTAATATTTATTATAACTATTGGGAATACTACTTGTAGATTTATTTTATCATTATACAATTCTTGTCCCACAATTTTGTTAACTGCACAGATTAAGTATTTTTAGGTTAGAATAATAATATACATACATAAGCAAGTACTGTATTATTTTTTCTTCTATTACATTTCTCTGCCATGACTCTTACAAATATTTTTATTATTATGTCTAATCATATATAAATCTTGAACGCTCGTTCATATTTATACCTGAATACTTTTTGCGTGCTAATCAGTTTCTAATTTAATTATAGATGTCACACTACAATAGAAACGCAGGTGCTCAAAGATCTGTGGTGATTGATTATGAACGTCAATTTCAAGAAGATTTGGAGTGCGCACAAGCATTGAGTTTGGAAACTCTTGCATTAGAAAAATTTAAATTACAAAAGCAACGTTCAGAATTTGATAGTGTTCAACAACCGTGTATTTCACAAAATGATGTACACAGAGGAAATAATATTGTAGATAGCAGTGGATCAGAAACAGACACTACACAGCAAGTTGAAAAGTAAATGATACTCTCTAAACATTTGTATTATTGTATTATTAATTTTTTATTTAATTTATTATATAGGATGGTCTGTAACTGGCTGTACAAGCAAAAAGGGGGTGATTCTACATGAAAAAATAAGTCTAAAATATAAAATAAAAATTTTTCATACAAGGCTTTGTTTTCGAGAAAATCGGCTTTGAATTTTCGCCGTGTACGCTTGCACTTGATCATGTCTTGTTATAACGGATCTCGCTATAGATCATTGTCTCGATTGACGTTTATGTTGATAAACACTTCCAGTGTCACAGAATTGTTTTTTGTACCTATCAGCTTACTATCTTACCTTTACCACTAAACACTATGTTGAGGCCAAATACAGGTAAACAGAGAAGGGTCGCAGCGATCGTCTCTGTAATAATAAACTTTATGATTACTTCAACATCCTATTTCATTACGTGTTTTTAATTTTCCGTTACGATAAAAACAAACTTAAACTACAATAGTACCCATCGAGTCAACCTATAGCGAGATCCGCTATAATGAGACATGGTTAAGTGCATGCATACTAGGCGAAAATTCAAAATCGATTTTCTCGAAAACAGCCTCACATGAAAAATTGTTATTCTATATTTTAGACTTATTTTTTCATATAGAATCACCCCCTTTTCGCTTGTACTACCAGTTACAGAACATCCTGTATTATCATTGTACAAAATAACTAATATAAATGAAGTCCTATCATAATGTTTAGCGAATATTCTAAAAAAACAAAAGTATAGATTTCAGTGTAGAAGTCGACCAAGGCCTGGAACTTTTAATACCAATCAATCTAAAAATACTGTGATATTAGCACCACCACCAGTTCCATCTAGGAGAAATTCTACATCAGCTACAACAAGTCAAGAACAATCGATCGATTTAATCAATTTTACAAGTCCAGTAAAACAAGATAATTTGGCCGATTATTGTTCACCTTCGCCTCCGACGTCGTAAGATTTTAGTTTATATATTTTTAAAATGAGTATTGTCCACTTGAATAGGCAGTGAAGAAATTGTTCTTGTTATGGAATAGAAAACCGTCGGTAGAGCCAAAATGGGAAACTCATCCCTCGCTATTAAAAAAGCAAACAAGAATATCGCGCAGTAGTAGTTCTGCAGGTTATCATTCTCGAGATTTTCGATATCACTCGCTCTCTCCTGGTCCTGGATCTTCCACTGCACCCTGTACACCTGGGACTCCAAAAATTAGTCCTATCATGTCAAGATCCAGTAGTATTAACAGTAATGTACCTGATTCAACACCACAAGTGAGTAACACATGTTACTGTATTTTTGATAATGTTGAATTCCATTGAAAATTTTATATAATTTTCTTTATTTGATTAATAATTTTATAGATAAATTTTATTTTATTGCAGCCTGCATGGAATTTTTGTGATTTAAAAAATTATTTTCTTATGCAGGTATTTTCTGTTATAGATGTTTTAATATGAATATCAGTCGAAACTTATTAATTTCTAGTCTTTTAATATCTTTTATGCCGGGACCACACTGGAGAGAACAGTTCGTGAGTAGTGCGCCAGCAGCTCATGAAGTGCTCGCAGATAGTTTGCGAGCTGTTCGTTAACGGAAACAACCGCGTGTTCACACTGGAGCTCGCTAACAACTTGCGAACAGTTATAACCCACACACACTTCGAGTTCGCGTACAGTCCCTTTGATGTACCGCTTCCCGGTACCCGCACAGCTAACACTGTTCGCTGAGGAGCTCGCTGCTCGCTGTTCGCGAAAGTCTTCGCACTGCTGGCCAGCACATCCGCGAGCTGTTCGCGAACAGCAGTCTGGTCCCGACATTATTCGTTATTAAAGCTTTCCACCTTATTCAGTATGTAGTAGTTCGAGAATAAAAAGATAAGAAAATAATTTTATTTGTAGATACCTCCATTACCTATGAATTACAGACCAAGTATTACTCCTTCTGTATGTGGTGTTCAAAAGCCTACATTCGGTGCGGACGATGAGCAGCTAAGTGTATTAAAAGTAATAGAGAAAAAGCCAAATAATAATCTTATAGATTTGAGTTCTTTCGATCATATAGAGGATAAAACAAATGTTCGAGTTAGTGTATTGGAAGCATTTGATCCGTTACTTGTTAAGACTGAAGATCACGTTGATATCGCACAAGGACAAAAAGACGGTAATGTTACATTATAAATGTACACTTAAATAAAATTAGTATAACATAATTAGATAAGTATTTATTGGAGTACTGTCGTTCATCTTATAGTAATATGTTATGTTTAAACAGAGGCACAATCACAAATTAGTGGATCAGTGTATGACCCGTTTGATCCATTTGATTACATGTACAGCACAAATGAAAGCGTTAATTCAGATCCAGTGTACGTTGCTGTCGAAAAATCTGCTAAATCTCCAGCTGTATCTCCAGCTGCACCGCCGCCGCTACCTCCTCGAAATTCATCTGCTTGGAACACCATTGAGAGAAGAAGAACTTCGTTAGATAGAAGAGTAAATACTATAAAAATTTAAATATAAAAATGAACCAGTAGTAATTTTAATTTTAATAACTTCGATTTTTACAGCAAAAACGGCAAACACGCTTGTATGAAAATGTAACAGTGAGAAAAACTAGACCGTCACTTTATGATTGCGATTTAAAAGCTTTTCATGAGATGATGAAGTCAGTGCGAAGTTAGTAAACATATCAAATTTAATTTACTGTATTTATAACATTTACACTCCGTATTAATACGCGTAACACCCACAGGTGATTTTCCATTTAACGATCCTAGTACAAATATTGGACATGTAATCAGTCCAATGATGGAAAACTTATATCCTGATGGCACAAGTATAAAATTGGTTGTACATCCACAGTTAATGGATTCTGATGAAAATACTCCGTCCATTTCATTTACTTGTGACGGTAAAATTTTATATACTTATAAAGTGTCTTAAATAATTCCCAAGGGTTTAATGTATATAAATATTTATTTTCAGTAAATTGTAGTGTCGAACATGTCATTCTTAATGTTGCTTGTTCTTTAGAAGATGAAGATACAGTGAATATAGAAAAATATTGTTTGAGAGTGTGGGGGTTGGCAGAGTATTTTGTACCTAATACAACTTTAGCGCAATACGAATATATACATCAATGTATTAAATTAGAAAAAGACATTGAATTAGCTATTCAGACTAAAGCACAAATAAAGCGATGTATAGCTCGAACGGTAAGTATTTTTAATACTATTATAATTGACAGTTATAGTAGTGCCCACTTAAGTGTCCGCGCTCGGGACCGGCCGCGGTCGTTTAAGTGGGCAAGGTTACTTCTCAGAATTTAACGGAGATAAGGAAAGAGAATAAGTGCGAGTGAGATACAATAGCTGGCCATCTGAAACCATATACAGGGTGTTTGGCCATCTCTGGGAAAAATTTTAACTTAGTTTAGTATTAATTAACTTTGTAGAGGCTGAAATAAGACGAAAATCAAGAATATCAATTTTTCGTTTGAGGCTTCGTTAAAAAGTTATTAACAATTAAATTACAAAATTTCAAATCGTTCTGGAAAAGTTATTTTCGGTTGCGGGGGTCAATTACAATCATTTTTGGTGAATAGATATATCTCCGAAATTGGTGGGGATAACCGCGGACATTTAAGTGGACAAAAGTGCGGTCATTTAAGTGGGCACTACTGTACTTGTATCACATACCTAACTTTCTTTATAGCTTCAAGATGATAATCGGGATCAGTGCCTGAAATTAGAAGATATTCTTCCAAACGAACCTGAGCAACCTATTTCTTACGACACCCTAATTATTTTGTTAGGTATGAAATTGATGAATTTTTATTTGAACATTATTGTATAGGAATGTATAAAATATTAATGAAATAATTCTACATATTTTTATCAAAATTGCAGAGACTGTAGAGAAAGAAATGGAACGCGTGGAAACTGCTGCTATACAATTGGCAACTACTAATCATAGTTCTACTCTCTTACCGCAACTGCAACCACGTGGCGTTGTCCAAGCGGTAAAAGCAGTCTGTGCTTTAATGGGAAATATAGAAACATTTGAAATTACAGAAGCTGTTGATAATTTTGTGAATGCATGTTGTCAATTTTTACCCCAAGTTCATACAACAAATATAGAGTGCAAGAAACCTGAAATTCTGCATGAAGATGGCGACTATTCTGTTGTGACATTACGAACAAAATTCCCGGATGTAATTGCTTCTCATTGTCGCAAAATACGTGATGCGATTCAGGATCTTGTAGAAACATATTGTCATGCTTTTACAGTTGATTTTGAATTGAATAGCAGGGGAGAATTTCCAACAAGTAAGAAAAACATTAGGTATTCCAAAATATTATTCTGTTGAATGATAAATTACAAGAAAAGAGTCTGATTTGTTGTACTGTATTTTTATATAACAGATACATTAATATCGTCCGAAGTATTGGATACTGTATTAGTTCGCGTTGGAGCATTACATAGATTACCAGGATCATGGAAACACGATGATTACATTATTGCAGCTCAAATATTCCATGGAACCAGACCTGTTGGGAATCCAGTTTTATCAGAACCTATGGCTGTCAATTCAAATTTTTATCCTAGAATTTTATTTAATTCATGGTAATGATTTTAAACTTGACTAATTGAAAATTATATTCCGCTCGTCAAATGTAAATTATAATGTTAATGTAAAAGGTTGGAATTTCATGGGATAAGTGTATGTCAAGTACCAAGGGAAGCTAGATTAGTGTTGGTTTTGTATGGCCGCACATTACAACCTACTGAACATGAATTTAATTCGTCCGAAGAAAATACTATGCACAAAGAAGAGTTAGGTTGGGGAGCTATACAGTTCTTTGATAGCGAAGGGTAATTAATTTTATATATAATAGAATGGGGAAACATCTTGTTACTTCTTTAGTCATATAATCCGTTTCTTCTATCACAGTGTTATGAGTCAAGGAAGTTTCTTCCTATCACTTTTGCCAGCAATAGCTGACAAAAGGCTAGGTCCAGCTCCAGCACTTGGATATCATCCCCATGGGGATACATATCCCATTATTGGGTTAGAATTACCTGATTATGGAGGAAAGGTATTGTTCCCTACAGAATTGAGAGATTTCGATGTTGAATCTCTTGACTTTAATTCATTAGATCAGAATACGCAACAATTATTAATAGACATCACGCAACAACATACATTTACAAGGTATGTATTTTTTAATTAACAGTCATTTGTTTCAAATTGTTCATATTTATTTCTCAACCCGGTAGACCGCTTATCGAAGAAAGAGAAATTTTATGGGAAAAACGTCATTATTTACACGACAGACCCGAAGCATTGCCTAAAGTGCTTTTAGCCGCACATAGTTGGGATTGGGCATGCTTGCCTGATCTTCATGCATCCCTTAGAGTTTGGAGTCCTTTACCTCCGGTTCAAGCTTTACAATTATTATTACCTTGGTAATTAAATGTTTAAAATCTTTACGTACGTGTTAATAACTTCAATAATTCTAGATATTTTGTAGTTTTCCGGATATGAAAGTTAGAGAAATGGCGGTTGTATGGATTCGAGAACTGAGTAATGATGAACTTGTAGATTATTTGCCGCAATTATTGCAAGCATTGAAACATGAGACATACGAATCGTCTCCTCTTACGAGATTTTTATTGGAACGAGCGTTACTTTCACCACGTGTGGCTCATCATATTTATTGGTTGTTAACGCAAGCGTTACCGGGACAAAGTCCTCAGGTATACGTTAATACGATATATAAATAATGTTATTGAATCTAAATTACTGGTTTATCGATTATTTTTAATATGTTTGTCTCTCAGAATTCTGCTGAAATTACACCAGAAGATGATAAAAATATTAGTTATGCGCGTTACCATAGAAGGTTACAATTGATGTTGCGTGCGTTACTTGCTGTTATTGGTGATGCATTGAGGAATAGCTTTCTCACACAGCAATTACTTGTTAAAGTATAATACAATTTTATTATATTGTATTACTTTATTGATCCGCTAATAGTAATGATATACTTAATTTTCTTATAGAATTTATACGAAGTAGCAGAAAATATTAAACTGACAAAAGATTCGTTACGGATGGATGCACTTAAAGTTGGTTTACAAAATATAAATTGTCAGTTAATGGAAGATGATGGTACATGCTTACCGTTATCTCCTAGTAAACAAGTATTTGGTATAAATGTGCAAACCTGTTCGTATTTTCCATCATTTACTCTTCCATTAAAAATCAACTTCATTAGTAGTGATGATGTGATTTGCCCTGCGATTTTTAAGGTGTGTTTAATAGACAAGTATCTGTTGCACAGTCTATTACAATTTTTTATTTTACACAAAAATAATGTTGAAGGTTGGAGATGATTTGCAACAAGATATGTTAACTCTTCAAATGGTTCGTATCATGGACAAATTGTGGTTAAAAGAAGGTCTTGATCTTAAAATGGTAACATTTGCCTGTGTGCCTACTGGCCATAAACGTGGAATGTTAGAAATGGTTACAAATGCAGAAACGTTACGAAAAATTCAAGTTGAATTCGGTCTAACTGGTTCATTCAAAGATCGACCAATTGCCGAGTGGTTGGCAAAGCATAATCCTTCGGAATTGGAATATGAAAGAGCAGTCGAAAACTTTACCGCGTCTTGTGCCGGCTATAGCGTCGCTACTTATATTTTAGGGATTTGTGATAGACACAATGACAATATTATGTTAAAAACGTCAGGTCATCTGTTTCATATTGACTTTGGAAAATTCTTAGGCGATGCACAAATGTTTGGAAATTTCAAAAGGTAAAAATACTCAATTTCTTATATTGTATGTGTATGATCGAAAGCGATTATACATATTACTTTTTCTTTTAAATTAGGGATAGAACACCGTTTGTGTTAACATCTGATATGGCATATGTTATAAATGGTGGTGATAAACCTTCGGCCAAATTTCATCATTTTGTAGATTTATGTTGTCAAGCATTTAATGTAGTGCGAAAACATGGGAACCTTATTCTTCATCTTTTTGGATTGGTACGTCTATTTTAAATTATATTGCTAACGTAGAAAATATTATATTATTATAGAATAATATCGGAATTTTCATTAGATTATTATTATACTTAAATTGCATTATTTACTCGATCTGAATAAAATTTTCCCTTTCGATTATTTTATTGAATACAAAGAAGTTAATTTTTAACTTGGTAATATGATAATTTGAGCCGCTATTCTCTTATGAAAACAACGAAACCGCAACGGAAGGACTTATCCATACGCTTTATCAAAAAGAGGCCCGTTATCACGCTAAACTGTATGCGATGTATTGTTAATTAGTGTTTATCGTTGGGGCTCTCGTAATATCATAATGTGCAGCAGTCAGAATCACTTAAGAGAAGAGTTAACCACGTTTGAAAACTAATATGCTAACAACGACTACAATAATGGATATAATACGTTAATGTGCGATCTGAAATTTACTGTTTAACAGTATCGATTGAGTCGGAAAATACAAAAAGAGAAAACATAAAGATGCATACTTTACTATCCCAAAAAAATAATATATCCGACTTATATAAACTGAAAATCATAGAACAAAAGCTTACCGATATTGAAATAAAAGAATTAGTGAACAAATCTAATATGAATAACTATACAAATTCGCAGATGACTTCGTCTGGTATTCCTGGCGTGACTGTGGATGCAGTTAGTTATGTGCAAAAAGCTCTTCTTCCTGAACAAACAAATCCTGAAGCAGCTGCTACGTTTGCCCGAATGATAGAAAGTTCACTAAAAAGTTGGTTTACACAATTCAATTTCTTCTTACATAATTTAGCACAACTACGATTTTCGGGCGATCATAATGATGGAGCATTATTGTCTTTTATTCCACGTACATATACGTAAGTTTACTATAGCATTTCGTAAAATTGTCTATAAGATTAAAAGTAAGTGTATCTTTTTAATTGTTGCAGAATGCAACAAGAAGGTCAATTGACAAGTGTTCAAGTCCATGGTTACCAAAAACGATATGACCCTGAAAAGTATTACATGTATATTTTGCGCATACAACGAAAAGGCCATGCAGACCCCACATATTTATTCCGATCATATAAAGAGTTTTGTGAATTTTATCAAAAACTGTGCATTCACTTTCCACTTGCAAAAGTTGCCAGGTAAGAAATATAAATTTATTTCAATTTCATGTCTAATAAAAAAAACACCGTTTGGTGTGTCTTTTATACATTCAAAACAAAATGTGGATTCATTTTTCTGTTGTAAAAGTTATTAGCAAGTAAAGTATGATTTCTTACCAATTTCATATTATGGCATTAATTTTATTTATATTGACATTATCTGCATCAATAATATAATATTTTAATTCTCATTCAATTAGTTTTAATGAATTGACATTTTATATTTTATCACATGTTTTATCATAAAAATCGTATGTGGTGATTCAATTTTTCCATTATTTATATATGAATATCTTTATCGTTAACAGTTTTTAAAATTTTTGTATAAATTCACTGAAGTTATGGTTATACATCTATTGGTTTCACTGTCTTCTACTTTTTCATTATTAAGGCGAAGTATTTAATTGCTTAAAGTCAGTGTTATTCGACATGTTTAAATTATCATTTGTACTCTTCCGTAATGTGGGTCCAGTAAATTCGGTTTGTGATATTTTTCGATAAAATTCTGGTTTAGAAGATGTTTCAGATGATTTTTGTTGCATTGATATTTGAGCACGAAACCAACCCAGACCCATGTTTAATTTAAAGTCTTTATCTGAAACTAATACGAAATTTAATGTTACATATTTATTGTTTATACTATAAAATATAATAATCGAACATACCTGAAGAAATAATTTCTTTCTCAAAAGAATGCACCTAACACGGTTCGGATTCACAAACAATATTATAAACAGTTGCAACAATGATAGGCATATTGAGAATATGAAAATACGTTGATAAATTTGTTTTTAATTGAAAAGTATTTCGTATCTTGGTATCAAGAAATGTCTGTGTGTTATCTTTTCTTATACTATCTAATCAGACCAAAATTTTGATACATCGGAAATTCGTTTTGAAACAAATTCTAAGAAATAAATGACATTATTACTTTTGTTTTTAATATTTTCTGAGGAATTAATGCATTTCTTAAATTTTGTAAATAGACGAGATACAAATAGGCATAATTAAATTGATATAAATAACAATATATTTTATGTAGCTTACCAAGTGGTATGAGTGTTGGAAGGTCTAATATAAAACAAGTTGCTGATAAACGTCGCGCAGACATCGAAAAATTCCTTGTAAGCTTATTCAAAATGACTCCAGAAATTTCACAAAGTGACTTAGTATATACTTTCTTTCATCCTTTATTACGTGATCAACAAAATGCTGATATTCATTTACGTAAAGTAAAAGGTACAGTAAAACTTACGAAATGTATTTATGTACCGTTTAAAGATACTGTAAACATATTTTTACTTCTTTTTTTCAAATAGTTGGCAACTGGTGGGCTGAAAAGATAGTCAGGGATAATGTACAAAGTGGGCAAATTAAAATGTCTCTTCACTATACTCGTGGAGCATTTTATGTAATGATTCATCATGCAAGGGGTTTGCCTAAAGTAGCTAATGGGCAAGAACCAAATACATACGTAAAAGTTTATCTTAAACCTGATCCAACAAAGAAAACGAAACGGAAAACAAAAGTTGTGAAAAAGAATTGTCATCCTTCGTTCATGGAAATGGTACGAAATTTACATAAATTAATTAGTTCCTTATGTTTCGTTCTTATTAAAAAAAGACATGTTCAATATATAATATATTTCTCCACTGCAGTTGGAATATAGAATGTCTTTAGATGTTATTAAAGAAAGAATTCTAGAAGCTACAATATGGAACCATGACACTTTACAAGAAAATGAATTTCTTGGTGGAATACGCTTACCACTCGGACGACTTGACTTGACAACTGAAACAATCGAGTGGTTTTCGCTAGGAAGTATCCGATGAAGGAGTATTCGTAAATTTAAGATGTTCGCTAACACTTCACGGAAGTTAGATCTATAAAAATGGAAACTTGAATTTCTTTGCACAATATTAATGATAGCATTTCTATAGTATGCACATAATAGTGCAATAAAATAAGTCGTGTCTATAAATGAACAACATTGACACATGCTTTCACATTCAGTAAACACGCTTCGTAAAACAAGTTAATTAATATCGTAAAGTCTATTATAAAACTATATTTAACTGATGTTATAATTGGAAAGGAGGTATATTTCATAAAGTTATTCTGCCTTTTGCAAGAACTGTCAAAATATTAGAAACAAATTTCTCATAAGAAGATGTTTCATTATAAAAGTGAGTGTGAACTTCTTCTAGATCATAATTTACAAATATTTGGCAACAAGTGTCAGTAAGTATAAAATAATTTGGATTCGTAATGCTAATTCTATTAGTCAAATTATATAAAAATGTTTATTTATCTTATTTTTAATTTTAACTAATCTATCGATTGTAAATATATTCAAAGTATGCTACACTATTTAATTGTAGCAGATCGAATACAATGTTTCCTACATAGGTATGAGTTTGACAATATAGACTTATACACTATACATATATATATATATATATATATATATATATATATAAATTATAAATTTTATTCGAATATAAGTTATTTGCCTATAATAATAAGTATATCAGGTGACAAGAGGACATTTTTTACTTTCATATGAAAATTTGAAATTATATATAAGAATAATCAAAATAACTTTCTACATACAGTAATAAGATCTATATAGAAAGGAACTACGAGTCAGTGTGTATTATGAAATTTTTATTTGTATGCAAGAGAGGAGAATGAAATTATGTAAATATGCTTTTAAATTTACCAATAATTTCGTAATCATTTTATATATCTATTGTGAATATTTGAATACTTTATCATGAGGCAGGAGTAAATTTACTATGACGAAAATGAAGGTTTAATTTAATACATTATCGACAGGTGGTTATTAGATATTGATTTAATTAACAAGTACCTTATCATATTTTTGTAGCATCTTTACTACACAAAGTTTATATTTTTTTATATATCTGCATTGTAAGGTGAACAGTTTCATGTTTTGCACAGAAGTAATGATATAAAATAATATATGTGATCTAATCTCCTGTTGTTAATGTATTAACATCATTAATTTCAACCTTAATATTTGTTATAAACATTTCTCAAAAGCAGTGAAATTATTTAATAACAGAAACTTGCGTTTTGTCCTTTTCAATTGGATGAAATTTGATATCATAGCTATAAAGAAATATTGTACTTCTAAGTGTACAAGCCTTTTGCTTCTACATTAATATCATAAAATAATCATGAATTATAATGCTACTGCACGAGCTTTCTATATTCTTTCGGTTGCAATATAAGATTATACTAATTTTATTAATTTATTTATAGATTATCTTGGATTATGTCCAAGAAAATAATCATTTGTGATTCTTCAATTTTATCGTACAGAAATATATGTAACAAGATGTCGTGATAATTTTACCGCATTTCGATATGGTTTTTCTGTGTTAAATGCTGAATATACTCTATGTACAAACAATTTTGTACAAAAAGTTGTATCGTTTTGAAGATGTATATCACTTTACAATTTGTACCGTGACATTAAAAAGCTGCATAATAAATTGTGTTTTAGAATGTTTCATATTGTACTCTTATGTTGGTTGTTTCGTAAGATTGATTTTCCCTGAATCGAGCCACCAAGAAAGGGCGATTAAATCTTCCAGATCAACTACACGGCCGATCACGTTTCGTTCAATGCAACAGTGGTGACCCGACACGGGTTCCCCAATTCTCCCCATTTTATTCAGAACCATTTTGCTTAAGGTAGCACAAAAATTGTCAAAATAATGGAAGAATAATACTAGCAAACAATTTAAGAGAATATCATATTATATGTGAATCCTCTTCAAACGATGCATTATCTACTTAAGAGGTGAAGAAACATCCATAGTGTCGAAACACACATGTATAAATTGAACAAAATCAATGTTTCGTTAAACAATATTAAAAAACAAATCAGTAAATCTTCCATCAGTAACATGAGAGAGAGGGGAACATTTAAACAGTTCTTGGTCAGTAAGTGGTCACCATTGGTCATCACATGCTCATCATTGGCCAGCAAAGGATCATCCCAAAACATGCAGGAAAAGAAGGGATCTCTCTCCCAGAGATAACTCTCTGTTTTTCATTATTCATATGCCACATATTGTTAAGAATTGTTCAAACTATTGCGTTGTAATGTTAAATAATGTTAAGTTTTATTTATATTAAAATTAAAAAAAGAAAAGAATTCCTGTAATTTCATTTCCTGTCTCATTTCCTCCTGTGTTCCTCAGTTGAGAAACTATTCACTGAATTAGTGTCATAGGCAAACAGACTGTAGTTGTGTTTAAATATTGTATCTAAGTTTCGAAGTACGAATTATTCGCGTTTCTTAGTTAAAGTTGCAAATAATTTGCATTAATTGTATAATTCTATTTAAAGTTGCGAACAATGAGTACTTTTCGCGTTTGCTTTTCCAGATTCTAATTTTATATCCATCATATGGTGCAGTAAGATATATTTATTCCATATTGTTCATAACTAATTTGAGTAATGTAAAAGTATCTTGAGGAATCATTTTTAGATCAATTACAGATTTAAGCTGACCTTGACAATCATTTTATGTATCCAGGAAAAAAAGAACAAAATTTATTATACTCAAATTGCGCGCGAAATTGGCAGATCGCGATTTATGATAACGGCGCAGCACTACTGGCGCCGCAAAGTGAAGTGACCGCGTGCGACAATTAATTCGTTCTCAGTCAGTCTGTCCCCCGAAGGACCCCGCAACAGATCTTATGGAAAATGGCCACCGGTTAAATTAGCTGAACTTTTGATATGATGTAGTTCATTACGTCTTGATGAAGAGTTCCAATGGGGCCAAGCCCGTAAATTGAACAGTTTCCGAGATACGGGGGATCAAAAGTCAATAATAGTGCGCCTTATTCCAGACTACCACGGTCGAACATATTTTAGTGTAAGAAGCACTGTTGTACACTGCCCATTTATTTGACCCCTTAAAACTCAATGGTAGGCAATTGAAGGCAACGGGCACGATGACTTAGTTTATGACAATTTTTAATAATGTATTTGGCGACTGACATTGGCTAGTGTATCGTGCATGGTGTATTAGATTTGTATTAGTTAAAAATAATAATATTAAATTGCCATTTACTATTTATTCAACAAATTGTTGATGTTGCACTCATGACAGAAATATTATAAAGTGCTTAATAAATTAGCTTTTCAATTTTATACAATCATACGTGTATACAATATATTTAATTGAAGACTATAATGTAGCTTCTTTATCAGATCCAAAGCAATTAGCGTTATAGTTTAATTTCATTCTGAATCATTAATTGGATTCCACACCGACATAGTATTGAGCGATTAATTACATTAAAATCAATTGATTGAATTTCTCCAATGAAATTATTCGATTGATGCCCAACTCTAGACCGTAGAGCCACAGACGAGGTATATGAATAGACCTTTCACCTAATGTAATTTTTCGGCCCGAGTTTCTGGGGTCCCGGGACCCCATTACCACTTTCGTGTCACTCGCAACGTTATCAACAGATTCAGAAATTAACACAAGAGGAAGTGAGACAGAAAATAAAATTACATAAATTTTATTATTTTTGAACGGAATTAAAGCTGTAGGGTCCATCATTGGACATTAATCGATTAATTTCATTGGAATAACCAATCGATTGAGATTATTTAAAGATTTCAAAATTATTAAAATACGTAAGGATCTCATTGATAAATACACCGCAAATCCTCTATTTTTTATTTTAATTTGTAATATATTATTTATTTAAAAACTAACTCGGCAAAAACGTATTTGCGATTCGAAATCAGTGTTATTAGACCGCACACCAGGACGAAGAAGGTATGTGGAACTATAAGAAGAACGCAGCCATTAGCTCATTTTATTTGCTATGTAATTAATAATTATATTAATTACATAGTAAATAATATGACCCGGGTCTCACCACGTGGAGGTTGCTGCGACTGGAGACCCACCCTAGCCTCGCCCCAACCACCCTTCCTTTGGCGAGAAATTCGAATACCTATCTAAGGGAGAAGCTATCGAAAAGTTAGAAACGAGCTAGAAAAGGAGAGTTCTTAAAAGAACTGCCCAATCAAGAGATGAAGAACCTAACAAAATGTCAATATATGTGAGATGATACACATGTTTTCTAAAAACGAAATTGAAATGTGCAACTGCATGCACGAACTCTGACCGATGAAGAGATCAAAAACCTAACAAAATGTTGATACATGTGAAATAATCCATCACATGTTTTCTAGAAACGAAATTGGAATGTGCAACTGCACGTATGAATCCTGATTACTAAATTATCAATATGTACTTTATTATTAATTGTTCCTTCTTAAATAAATACTTGCATTATGACAGTGCCTAACAAGACACTCGTACAAAACGAAGAAAGGATCCTGAAGATCCAACCAGAAATGTGCAACTGCACGTATGGACCTTGCATATTAGAATACTAATATGTATCTTAATATTAATCATTCCCACTTAAATTTACGCACACGTTTCGGTAATATTTAATAAACGGCAGGAGAACGCTTTTTTATCTTATAATCTATATACATTTGTACTTATATTCTAACGCAATCTGTAGAAACATGAAGAAATATGAGGAAATATTTTCTTCTTGGTGTCTTCATCAATCCCACGATGTTTTTCTAAAACATACACTAATATACAATAAATTATAACCGACATGAAACAAAGAAATACGACAAGATATTTTCTTCTTGGTGTCTTCGTCACTCCCACGATGTTTTCCTGAAACAAAAACTCATATCCAATAAAATATATAACTCATATAAAACAAATAAATATGAAAAAATATTTCTTCTTGGTGTCTTGATTAATCCCACGATGTTTCCCTGAAACATAAATCAGACAATAAATAAAATTGTACAAAGAAACTAACTACATCAAGCTACTTCAAACTACAATAGAGTGGCACATATGGGGATGAAGTTAGACGTTTTAAATATCGCAACACTACGGGGCAACAACGCGATAAATCAACAATCGCAACGCTAATTTATAATAGAAAAAATTCCAAACGCGACTTGTAAGAATAAAAGCAACCCGCGAATGGTAATTATTCGCAACACTACCCTGAAA